AGTCCTGATTCTAAACCTAGGGGTAGATCTACATTCTACAGGGGAAGGGGGTCTAACCCCCTCCATGGACAGCCCCCAAAAAGGGAAAATCTCGCAGCCAAACACAATAAAAATGCCTGCTGAACCTCCCTTGCCTGGCAGCTAAACCCCAACTTGATCCAAAACTGATCCTCCCCTGAAACCTATAAATGCACTTCAAGGTTCACCGCATTTAATATAATGCCAATACATGTAACATGATTAAAGGGGTGCATTTACCTATGTTCCCCAATACCTATGTTCCCCAATACCGATGATCCTTAACCTAATCCTAACCCTTACCCTAACCCCTACCCTAATCCTAGGGATTTCGGGGAACATCGGTATTGGGGAACATAGTATTGCCATTGGGGAACATCGGGTAGACCCCGATTAAAGTCTTTCAAGCGCTGCTCGCATGCACGTAAAAATTACAAAGAATTAAGGTCAGGGTCTTAGAACAGTCATCGGGCCGTATAAGGCCCATGGCGATCTTGCAACGATGGTGACGAATTCTTGAGCTGTTTTTGCCGCGGCCTTCTTGCAAACTTCAGGGGAAAGGCGTAGGAAGGGAGGAGCGGAGCTGAGCTGTCAAAAAACTGAAACAGTGCCAAGTCAGTTCACATTCGTGCAATAGGAATTTACATGGCGTAAACAGGTGATGCAGCGGGAAATGCACCATTTCTTTCCCGTGGATTGTTGTTTTCCCCCGGTAGCCCGTCATGTTGAACACGCTGAGTCATCAGGAAGAGCGGGTTGCTTTAATACACGACACAGCAGTTTCAGTGTCAGTGGCTCTGTGTTCGCGAGGCACGATCGCGTCTTCATGATGGCCCCAGCCTGAGCCCCATTCGCCGTCCGGAAGTTACCCAAGAAGCACCATCTTAAGAAGTTTCCTGTCTACACTGGCACACTGACGCGTCTTTTGCTGGTGAGTTGACGTCTTCTTAAGGAAAGTATGGATTAAATAGTCCATAGTTTCCGTGATGACAAAACGACAGCACTGACATCATCGTGTGGACTTGTAAGTTGTACTCTCAGTTCTGTAAGGCGGCACCATTTGTGGATGTGCTCATTGGAACACCGTCCCCAATGGCGTTTACTTTGTGGAATGATCGGATGGAGAAGTCTTCAAGATTATGAAGTGCTGCTGCCTCCTGCAAGTTCTTCTTAAACTGATACGTGACTTTGTGGTGATGTTGATGTGAACATTTTACATCCTCTTTGCTGGATTTTCTTACAGTGCAACGGCGACTGTTCTATGATTGACATTTTGCCATCACAGCCTGCAAAGCAGTTAAGACTGATTTTCAACGAGAGGGCGCAGTTTACTTCTAAAACCGTCAAGTCCAAGAACAGTCAAGTCCAATTTTGAGCTGTCCTTTTGTCTTAAGTTGAAGTACCGTCATGCCGCGCCCGTTAGAGGTCCGTGTCCGTCCCATGGAAGGGGGTGTTGGTGTGGGATCTACGGCCAGCTTCGCGTGCGACGCGCTCCCGGGGCGAGGAGACACCGTGCGGAGATTCTCCTGGCAAGCCGCCGTCCAAATCGCCAACGAGACACGGTACCGTTACGACGACGACCGGCGAAATATTGTCCACATCACCGGCGTGCAGGGCAAGGACAACAACACCGATGTGGTCTGCGAGGTCTTGACTGCGAGTGGAAGGAAGGGGAAAGGAACGGCCAAGATTTTAGTGGAAGCTCAGGGGGTACAGTCAACACCGATCGCTGGACCGAGGTCTCCGGACTATCTCATCCCAACGCAGAGGAGTGTCGGGATGCAGTCACCTTTAACCAATGCCCGGAATAACTGTATTATACTCGGAGCTGCCCTAGGAGGCGTTGTACTGATACTGTTGTTTTTGATGGTGATTAAACTGTCTAATTACTTGACATCGAGGCAAGAATTAAAGAGACTTGCAAGGGAGAGTGGCCAGGCCAAGATGGAGAAAGATCTGACTGAGTGGTATCTCCCTGCACCTGCTGTCATGGAAGGGGTGCAAACGTACGCCACACTAGGAGAAACTCTGAGCTCTCTCTACGAAGATATGAGACCGCCGGCGATTTTGAAGAAAGGATGCAGTGCGTCATTGCCGACTAAGTTCGGGTTCGAACCCAAGACCTTACTCGGTAGCGGAGTGTCTATGACGTCAGACTATGGGACCTATGAGAACCTGAATTGGGGCGTGTCTCTACCACACCCCTACCCTGGATGGAACCAGCCTGGATGTAGCTCCTCCCTCCCTGTACAACACACCTACCCTAGCCTGGCCACAGCCTCGTCCTGCCACTCCATCATTGACTCGCACGATGGAGACAATGTCTACTCAAGTCCCAGGCTATCCGAGCAGACCCGGAATACCTACGAGAATGTCCGAGCGGCCGAACACGAGTACGAAAATTGCCGAAGAGACAGCGCGGACAGCGAGATCACCTACGTTGATCTGGACTTCGGAGACAGCGACCACGCGTGCACCGTGGAACCGACCAGTATCGAACCGACCGATATCGACTCTGACTCGATCGAGTATTCGAAAGTGCTGCAAATTCTGTCGGTTTTCAGGAGTCGGAGCGGCAGCACCATAGTGAAAGTAATCGAGACTGAAAACAATGACGCTTCCGAATAGTTAATATCGATTTTTCCGCTCGAAAATGGTATCATTCGATTCGGAAAGGCAATTCCGTAAATTTGGACGTACATGTCAGACACTTCTTCAATGAACTGGTGTTGGAAAAGTGAATGTGATACATCACTAATAATGTGACATCTAATAAGTAGAAAACAATTAAGTATCACCACCCATAACGACCTTGTATATGTACATCATGTGGTCGGACGTACGTTGGATTTTACGGAATTTTTCCGGAAGACAACAATAATTGAACTACAGGGTGAGTAAAAAAAGGAAACCCAAATGGTTCCCCATATTTGTTTTTAAAGACGTTCTGCATGTAGCGCGTTCCAAATCTAGGATATGAAAGCCCAATTAATAAGCTTTCTTTTAGTGGTAGAATCATTCACATCGCTCACGTACTTTTCAAGTTATGGCATTTTGAACACAAACAGCGTTTTGTAACCTTCATCACAATAAAGGTAGGTGATATTTCAGCAAAACGAAAACTATTCACACACCAAATAAAAATACATCAGAACACTCTCATAACCATGATAACTGGCACTTATCATAACATTTATTAAAAAACCTGCTGCTTCCAATGTTAAAATATCAAGCTTTACAATGTCAAGAGTTTAAAGTCTTGCCCTGCCTTCTACTTGGCTACCCGGAGACATGGGATTATTCTGACATCATTTTCAGGATACGACATGGTTTCATTTTACTGAAATATCACCTATAAATGTGATCCGTGGACAAGGTTAAAACAAAAACCAGTGGTAGTGTTCAAAATTCCATGACTGGAAAAGAACATGAGCGATTAGAATGATTCTTTCACTAAAGGGAAGCTTGTTAATTGGGCTTTCATAACCTAGATTTAGAAAACACTACATGCATAAATTCTTTTTAAAAAAAGGAAGCACAATTTGGGTTTCCTTTTTTTTTTACTCACCCTGTAATGCTACTGTCGCGGGCACATTTTTTTAACGTGCGTTTAGTTACGGAGTTTAGTCTGTTATGAGACCCCAAAATTGTGCACATATTTTCTCTGTGTTCTCAAAATGTATAGTATCCACTGAGCTGAAACTTCAACAAGTTATTTGTTATGCACCCTTCTTATGATTTTGAGCAATTTTGTTGCTTCAAACAAACAAAAAATGTACAAAAAGTAAATGTTTTATATACCTTTAATCCACAAATAAATATTTGTAGCGCCTTTTTAGACGCACTTTTTGCAAACCGGTGGCAAACTGGCAAACTATCCACACGTACCAGTGTAGGCCTAAAAATAAACTTAAAAGCAAAGCAAATCATCCAGACATTGAATAATCATAACTTCAACCAAATTTAAGTGAAGATAGCTCTATCTTAAATACACTGATATTTGTAGAGCCTTTGTAGATGTACTTTTTGCAAACCAGTAGGTAAACTGGCAAACTATATCCACGCGTACCAGTGTAGGCCAAAAAATAAACTTAAAAGCAAAGCAAATCATCCAGACATTATCATAACTTCAACCAAATTTAATTGAAGATAGCTCTGTCTTAAATACTAGTTGTTATTTTTCCGCCAACTCTGCTGCCCAAACAAAATGGCGCTGCGTCATTAAAAAAATATTTAATGTTTGTACAAAGTCACCAAATCTCTTGATAATCGCTGCTATTTTTAAAACCGGGCTTTTCATTACATTAATTTGACAAATATGAGCCAATGTTGTGGGTGGAGTCGTGAATTTTCTGGAGCATAAAAATAGTCTAATCCATAATAGGCTTAACATTAAAAGTGCATGAACCTAGTAAAAAAAAATGCGAAATATCAATTATGTCATACTTTGATAATTGCTTTTTCCTCATTTAATGTCATGTTACAGTTCTGGACCAGCTGCACGATATTAGCACGTGAACAGCTATCATTTTCTCTGTTCGTATACTTCGATTAAAAACAGCCCCAATTTTTGTCATCACTAGTGGTAGATCTACATTCTAGAGGGGGTAGGATTTTAACCCCCTCTTCAGGGCAGCCCCCCAAAAAGGGAAAATCTCGCAGCCAAACACAGAAAATGCCTGCTGAACCACCCTTGCTTGGTAGCTAAACCCCAACTTGATTCAAAACTGATCCTCCCCTGAAACCTATAAATGCACTTCAAGGTTCACTGCATTTAATATGATGGCAATACATGTAACAGATTAAAGGGGTGCATACCGATGTTCCCCAATACCGATGTTCCCCAATAGCAAAGCAAATCATTCAGACATTGAATCATCATAACTTCAACCAAATTTAAATAAAGATAGCTCTATCTTAAATACTAGTTGTTATTTTTCCGCCAACTCTGCTGCCCAAACAAAATGGCGCTGCGCATTAAAAAAATATTTAATGTTTGTACAAAGTCACCAAATCTCTTGATAATCGCTGCTATTTTTAAAACCGGGGTTTTCATTACATAAATGTGACAATGTGAGCCAATGTTGGGTGGAGTCGTGAATGTTCTGGAGCATAAAAATAGTCTAATCCATAATAGGCTTAACATTAAAAGTGCATGAACCTAGTAAAAAAAAATGCGAAATATCAATTATGTCACACTTAGATAATTGCTTTATCCTCATTTCCTTATTAATGTCATGTTACAGTTCTGGACCAGCTGCACGATATTAGCACGTGATCAGCTATCATTTTCGATTACTCTCTTCGTATACTTCGATTAAAAACAGCCCCAATTTTTGTCATCACTACTTTTACGATCTTTTTACAGAACTGATTCTTTAATATCACATTTCCTGTTACAAAAAGTACTGACGCCTTGGTTTGGTTATCGTTCGATTATTCTAGTATCGAATACTTTGATGAAAAGCATGTCGCTTGTCCAATTGTCACTACTTGTACAGAATCGATTCTTAGCATTACATTTTTGCTGTTAAATGTACTGACACGTTAACCGAACACCCATGACTGGCTGTCATTTTCGATTATTCCGTTTCGAATACCGATTAGTAACATCCTGCGGATTCTCATCATCTCTATTTCCGATAACAAAATGTAGGCTATATCGATGATGAGTGTCATTTCGAGTTAAAATGTGCCTTTGCATTGCAGTTTTTGGCTTGGTGCCATCTCTCACGTCACCCATACACGTGACATAGTCACATGTCTCGTGTCACGTGAATCAAAGGATTGTTTACTGAGCTTTAATTAGTAATAAATACGCGGGTTAATCCAAAAATTAAAAAGGGATGAGTGCTTCTTTTTCAATCTTCCACAATAATTGTTCACTCTTAATAGTCCCTACTTTAGTTCCACTGAGTAATCATGTAAAAACAAATCTCTATTCTGAAATAGGAGAGTAGACCTACTATCATTCGGTAAAACTGAAGAAGTCAAAATTCTGATGCTACGATATTTACCTATTTTAATCTGACATAAATAGAAAAGAACACACATACAACAGCTTGAAATGAACGAATTGTGGTTCTGCGTGGGATGATGATGCAATGCTGTGCTGAAGGCTTCCCACGAAATTTGTCTCGCCAAACCCACCCTCACAAAATTATTTCCACGATGAAAACAAAGATTGCCTTAAACGGTCAACTTCTGGACAGTGACAAATCTGGACACATGATCAGTTTCCTGTTAATCTTTAGTCATTATATACTATAGCAAGTGGGTGAAATTGGAAAATATTTCTGCAAAATCTCGCAAGTTATCGTCTATTCGCGTCAGAGCCGTCGGGAATCTCGTACTCGTCACCGTCAGGCGCAACATCGTACACATGCGCATCGGTCGCGTGAGTCATTACTGGAGTTGACGATTGTTGTGTCTCTTCAACTGGGGGTTCGTAGTACTCGTTGTCGTCAGCGTTGTTGGTTTGTTGGTTGTTTCCTCCGGTGATGGCCGTGGCGACTTGCGATGGCGGCACTTCGTAAACCTCGCCCTCGTCATCCGCCAGAGGGCGTGTTTTGTCTGTGTCTGGTTGTGGTTCGTAGTAGTACGGGTCTCGGTTGTGAGACGAAGCAAGCTGTTCTGTGACTTCTGGAGGCTCGTAATAGTCGCCATCTTGGGAGACTTGCGAGCGAATTGACTGATTGGCTGAGGTCAGTTGCTGCGTCACTTCCGGCGGCACGTAGTAGTCGCCATCTGTTGTTGTAGGGCACGTGAGATTGACGCTGGCTCTGGGCTGTTCGTAGACGTCCGGATTGGCCGCACTGGATCGCAAAGCCGGCTGGTATACGTCGTGGTCTATATCCATAGAGTCACGGATGTTCCCTGTGTACGTGAGCGGAGGTACGTATCCGGACTCGTACAAGATCGTATTGGTGTTAAGGTCGCCTGCTTCTTCATAGACGCCAACATCGGTGGTTGAGTAGCGGGTGGGCGGGACTCTGAGGGGGTGGAGAGTCAGATAACGTATGACGCTGGCAGACCTACCAGACGCGTCCAGACCTTCATAAGGGGTGTGGCTTACTTGTTGTCCCGTCCAACCAGCTAGGGAGGGGACCATGGAGTCACCACGCGCGGATATGGTTCCGTTAGGACGCTTCGAATCTGAAGACAGTCTGTGAGATATGAAGACAATAACGATGATGATGAGTTGGGTGGCTGCAATGCCGCCGATGATGATGCCAATGATAGAGCCGGTTCCCAGACCATCTCTGTACTGTGGAGTAGGGAGAGGTTGAGTCTGGTTCACGTCAGGGGTGAGAGTGGTGAAAGGTGTCACGGTGGTGGGTATCAAGGTGGTGAGGTCAGTTGGAGGCAGCACAACCCTGAGTAACGCCCCAGCGGTGGCTGACAATCCTTGTGCTATCGCGACTGTGCACTGCACTGAAGTCTCGTCGTCTGCTAACTGGACATCGCGGATCGTCAAATTTAGGCGATCCATGGACAGCTCAAATCGGTTCGGCTCTTGCAATGGGGGTACAAAAATGCCACCAAATGTCCAGCTGATCTCGACAATTGGGGATGGTCCTCCTGTTACACATTCAAACACAACCGTGTCGCCCGGTCTTGCGATAAGCTGAGGCGGCTCCACCCGGGCTGTTGGGTTGATGCTAAGGGGTACGAGAGAACAGATGCGATCTCCCATTATAGCCGGGCTTGTGGCTCGACAGGTGAAGCGGACCCCGTTTAGAGCTTCATCGAAAGTCCTCTCGATGACGTTCCTGCGTTGGACAGCCGGGGTGATCTCGAAGCCGTTCCGAAGCCAAGTCAGCGAGGCCAGTGGTACCCCTCCTTGGGAGGTACAGGTCAGAGTTGCCCGTTGTCCGAGCCGGATCATACCGGCCGGTGGCGACACCTCACACCGGGGGAAGCCTTCATCAGGCGGTAGTCGCACCGTCAAGCGTGCCGCTCTGGAGGTCAGCATGTTGGTTCCCGCCGGGACATACCCGCACCGGTACACCCCAGCATCGCTTGCTCGCACCCCGGCAATCCTCAAGTTGAATTGTCCCAAAGCGAGGTTCCCCACGATGCTAAGTCTGGCGTCCATCGCATCAGCGAAGAACGTGGTATCGGCTGACAGGTAGCGGTTGGCTCGGTCGAAGAACCAGTAGACTTTAAAGCTACCCTTGTTGCTGACTGTGCATCTGAACACCACCGTTCCTCCCAGGTTGACCGTTTGATCTTGGGGTCCGCGAATGATATTTATTGCTGCGGCCTCGGTAACCAAAATTGCTAACAACAATCCCACTAAGTGGCTAGGATTTGACAAACTCGGCATGGTTGATGAACTCCTCACGAAACACACCAGCTTAGTAATGTATAAACCTCTTGACAATCCGCCCGTGTGATTGCAATTGGTTTGAACTTGAATTCACAATACACTTATCACACTGCGATATCTCACCACCTTGCAAATTTATACTTGTGCTTATTTAAGTCGTCTGGAACCTAAAGGTACCTTGAGGTACCATCCGGTGGATATGTACCGCCAGTAACACTATCCTATCCAACAGATTCTCTACCGGATAAGGACATCTGGTATTACGTGTTATGCCTTTCCTGTTTTCTGCCCCTGCAGTCGCAATGACGTATCCTTAAAGGGAATGTACATCATTGTCTTTTTCTGTAATTTTCGGAAATGAACTATTTGAGAGGTCAGTATAATAGATCAAATATTGTTACACTGACATGTTTGAAGTTTTGTGCTCGAAAATGCTGGACAAACCCCCTCCAAAACCCAAAAATGTTCAAGTAGTCTAGTTCCCTGACTCCACTAAAGATGAAATGGATCAATTTATAGATGCCGGAAAATTGTAAGATAAGGGAACCAGTCTAGCTGGCCTGCGCCCGTTCATGAACATGTATCAAATAGCAAACAAAATTTGGACTGAAAAAAAAAAGGAAATTTGGAGCAGAAGTTGAAAAATAATTAGGTTTTTCCAACGATGGTCGGCCGACCACTGTTGGAAATGTATACAAAAATACCACTTTCTTGAAAATGACTTCACACCAGGTGCCATAATTTTACAGGATGCTTTAGACTGTCCTTTACCAACATCCTAGAAAGGTATTTCGTAAAATGTTGGTAGTTTTGTTTTCATGTTTGCAAATGCTGTTTACGTGTATTCCCTTTAAAAGGGATGCTTTGGTGATTTTCAAAGCCCATGATTTGGCTTTTTGTGTGTGTATGGTGCAAAGACCGTACTTGACCGAGTCAGAAACAGCATGACTCTTACTTTTCGATGATTAGACAAATCGTCACTAACAGGCAGTTTCTTTTAGTTTAACCTTCCAAAATTACAATTCCGTCTGTAATTTCGACTCACAGCTAAAACCAACTCTCTTTAAAAAAAGATTGTAGGAAATTAGAAACAATGAACAAGGGATAAACCCTTCTTTTTTATTCAAAAATGCAGGGAATTTTTAGGACAGGCACCGGGTAGTTTTAGTTTCAGTGACACGGAAGGAAACTTGCGGGAATTTTGGTGGGACTTTTTGGACTTTTTTCTATTAGCTAATCAGTCGAGGAGGAGGGGTGGTCACGGTGTTGACCACCCCCCCCCCCCCCCCACTACTCCCTCCCTTGGATCCGCCCATGCGTTGACACAATTTCATTTCATGTTACGGCCAGAGTCAGTGGAAAACTTTATTTTGTGCAAAGGTTTGGTATGGACAATGGCAGGAAACCGTCCTGTTGATAAAGCACAAGTTACGCACACGTACGAAGGAAGTGAGATGACATCTTATATTTGTTTGTCCAACACTGTACCTATCTATTAGCGTCATTGAACGATACGGCACCTCACAAACTTAATTTTCACTTTCCTAACTTTCCATTAGAGGGAAGGTATATGAATGGACATGATAGGACTGGACATGACATCATCCCTATAGAACCCCTTTCTGTAAGACGTTCTGTTGCTTCTCTTAGCCTGTTCTATAGATACTATCATGGTATGTACTCAGAAGGTTTCTCACTTGTTGTCTATTCTGTTCACACCTTTACTCGCAGCACTCGTTTTGCAATCTCCTCTCCTCCCTTAACTGTATCTGTTCCAAAGGCCAGTGTCGTGAGATATTCTTCTAGCTATAACGAACATCGTGGGATCCACAGAAATTGTTCGTAATAGCGATCGTTCGCTATAACGATTTTAAGCTACCGGTGCTCCGGTACTCTTTTTTTCAATAAATAGCGCCCTTCAGAACTTCACCCTGCACGCCTTGGTATCTCTAGTTACTGAAAGATGACTTTGAACACGTGCCGACTATTGAATAATGTAGTCACACAGATTATGAGCTTTCCCTTCTATTCCTTGGGGAAATAATAGCCACACGTCACTCTTCTGTTGACATTTTTCAACGGCAATATTCAGTACATTTTGTACACAAAAATCAAGAGCCAAGGATGATGTTCGGTATAGCCGAATGTTCGGCATATAGCGGTGTTCGGTAAAGCGACGTAGAACACCTTCCCTGAATCCTGCTCCCACCAATAATCTATCCCAGTTCAAAAGAAATGTGAATAGTTTTCTCTCTGTAACTTTTTTTCCTCTCTTTCATTTCCTTTGTAGCCCATACCTTGAGTGGCCATATATTTGCCTTGTGATGGGCGAGTACCATTTATAAAAAAAAAAAAGGGAAGCATAAAACAAAACAAAAAAATGTGCCACAATCAGTAATATGTTAAGTTTCGAATTTTGAATAAGGAACTGTTTAAAAAAAATTAACTTGCAATTCCAGGAGAGGTATTCCCTTTTTTTGAGGAGAATGAAAGCGCGAGTACATCATCGCTGGTTTCTGGGGTAGTTGTACCCCCCATTCCCAATTATATCATTTTTTTACGAAACTGCCGCGGAAAAATGAAGCCGACTGTCAGAATCATATGATCTTTTGTGCCCATCCCAGACCCTCTGTGACGAATAGGCGTACCCTGCTTTTGTGTGCATGTTGATGTTTTTCTACAATAAAAAGTTAACGAAATTGTGCAATTTTAAAACAGAAATGTCATGCATTAAACAAAATGCAATCAGATCACGATGAATATATAAAGTGAGATATCAATATCCGGAAACTGACTAATCCTCTGTGCTTTACTGAGTCACATTCAATTACGAGAAGTCACATAATCTTCCTCGGTCATCGCGTTCATGTTCAAACCGGATTTATGTCAAGAAGGGAATGACATCGTCACGACTTTATTTTGAGTGCATGTCTAGCGCCCTCCGCCGGTGTGAACCGACCAGATTTATTCCTTTATGCAACTTCTAGTGGTTACGGTTCTCAAATTTTATTTGCTTCTGAAGTAGGGTCAGTCGGTCGGTGACACGAAAATCTAAAATATAAAATCATTATTGCAATGGTCTAGAGGCGATCATCAGATGTAAATATGTTTGTGTCGTCATCAGTACCTCTATAGGGGCGATCATTATTGCAGAAATGGTCGCCCCTAGAGGTATTCATGTTTGTGTCGTTATCAACACCTCTAGAGGCGATCATTAGAGGTATATATGTCTGTGACGTCATGAGTACCTCTGGAGGTGATCATTATGATGGTCGCCTCTAGAAGTGTGCATGTTTGTGTCGTCATCAGTAACTCTACAGGCGATCATTATTGCAGAAATGGTCGCCCCTAGAGGTATTCATGTTTGTGTCGTAATCAGCACCTCTAGAGGCGATCATTAGATTATGTTTGTGACGTCATGAGTACCTCTGGAGGCGATCATTATGATGGTCGCCTCTAGAAGTGTGCATGTTTGTGTCGTCATCAATAACTCTACAGGCGATCATTATTGCAGAAATGGTCGCCCCTAGAGGCATTCATGTTTGTGTCGTAATCAGCACCTCTAGAGGCGATCATTAGATTATGTTTGTGACGTCATGAGTACCTCTGGAGGCGATCATTATGATGGTCGCCTCTAGAAGTGTGCATGTTTGTGTCGTCATCAATAACTCTACAGGCGATCATTATTGCAGAAATGGTCGCCCCTAGAGGTATTCATATTTGTGTCGTAATCAACACCTAAAGAGGCGGTCATCAGTACCTGTAGGGGCGATCATTATTGCAATGGTCGCCTCTAGAAGTATGCGTGTTTGTGTCGTCATCCACTGCGGACTTCGAATGTATCCAGAGTTAGTGGGGGCGGGGATTAGTCTGTGAGTCGAACCCCCACTAACTCTGGATACATTCGAAGTCCGCAGTGGATGGACCGGGAACCAGTCTCCCTAACTCTCCTTTTCTGGCCGTTGAAGGGGAACTTGTGCACGGAGCCTATAGCTGCATGCAGCACCTGTCGAAACTACCGCTGGCCACCAGCAGAGGGGGGATTCCAAAAGGTGACAACATAGCGTTTGTCTTGATTGAAAACCCGTCCCCAGGGCTTACTTTGTTTTTAAACTTGTTTCAAATATCAACCTCTGGGTGGGAATCTTTCTTTCTGTATTCTGATCGATACAGCAATAGCAAGTCATGGATTAGCGTATTCAAAATAACTCTTCAATATGTATAAACTAATTAGCAGTGACCACAGTTAGTAATAACTCTTACCGACTACTCGTATTACTTCTGCGGTTACACGGTTTAGAATCGGTTAACCGCGATCGGTGGCAGTAGATTCATAGGTCATTCACCAGAGATATAAGTTCAACGGGAATTAATGCCATAGACTAATTGGCGATATTGCGGTTCACAAGTAACTACAGAAAAATGAGGAAGCTTATCCGCGAGGAAGACTCACGTGCGAGTCCTAATCCCAATAATTGCGAAACTTATTGACACATTGTTGACTAAGGAAAAGAGATGGGAATTATTTGAAAATATAAAGCGAAATGTTTGTCCTCAATTTCCTGGGTGACCTAAGTTAAACTGACGTCTGCGCATGATACACGCGCGCAGAGCATGCGCAGAGATGAGTTGGGGTACTTTGGAGCAATCGGAGACATTTGAGACGTTGGTGGCAGCAAACACACACGATCATTTTGTTAGCGTCATATTGAGCATGCGCGCTTTAGCTTAAGCATGACGTAAACAATTATAAAGGACCGGTGTGTTTGCTGCCACCACCGTCTCAATAGTCCCCCGTTTACAGATATGCTAAACAGAAAAGTTTTTTATTTTTAGAAAAAAATAAAGGCGGATCTCTGAGGCAGTCACGTGCAAAAAATAAAATAAATTGTGGCTTCACGTGGCATTCTGTGTGATAAGTAGTTATGAAAACTAAAAAACTAGTCACGTTGGGGGCGTCCTTGCGAGCATTCGTCGCTGTATCGCATCCACAGTACATTGTAAGTGCCACATTTTACATTTGAAGATTTCCACACAACATATTTAATAAAAGGCGAATTACAATAATAAATCTTCCAGGGTACTATGATAAATATTAAACATTAAGGAAGTGATTTGTTAAATTTATATTGATTAAGGCAGAGATTTCTAATCAAAAATAAAATCATAAGTGTCACGTGTTTCTACAAAATGAGGCAATAATTTTATTGGTTGAAAAGCATAGAATAACAACGTGGCGTAATCGACTCTAAAAACTAAGCCATGTTTATCCCACAAAAATCCCTCGTAATCGTGACAAGAAACTTTTGTTATTTCGAAAAGACTGACGTGTACAAATTCCCTTTCCCTATTTTACCATCACTCCTGTGTACCACAATAGGCACGGCAATAGCACGACCCACCCACTTACAGCGTTCCCTCTGGAGGGACAACAACAAAAAAGGACAGGCTTGACTCAAGTTTCCGGCATGCCCGGTGGTTGATGCATAAAAACCAACCTTGGAGTGGTGTCGCAAACTAGTACTGGTAGTCAGATGTTGTTCGAGGAAGGAATAAACAGTGCCTGATTATATTTTCGGGTCGTGATTTGATTGTAACTTTGTCAGAACGATACGGAAAGAACCCTCAGGTTGTATCGGTTGCGCATAGTGTTACACGGACTGAACTCGGTATTTTCCCGGTAAGATTGATTGTTCGTGAACTGAAACAGAAAGTTCTCACGTTCGGACTTCAATCGTAGACTTCTACTCGGTAAAGCAAAGTACATGTGCAAGGACTTAAATCGGAAAGTCTCCCGGCAAGATTTTGAGTGTGCCTGCACAACGGACAGTTAACCCTCAGTACGGATTTCGAGACAACTTGAAAGCACTGAACCTAAAACTCATTTGGAGAGAGTATTGCTGCGTGCTAACAGTAAAGATGGGATTGTTGGCGGTGACTGCGGTATTTCTGCTGGTCGTCGGCATCGTGTCGTCAATAAGTCTGGGCACGGGGCCAGACGCAACGGAGGCCCGGGCCGGAGAGACGGTGGAGCTCCGCTGCGATGTCAACTACCGTAACGGCGAACCCATCCTCTGGTACCACGATCCGTCTAAATCGTACGTGACTTACAACCGAGATGTCTCCGATACCTTAGACGCCGATCGCAGGCAGCGATACTCGGTCCGTGGCAGTGAGTACTGGCATGTGTTTAATCTCCGAATCGAGAACCTGAAACCTACAGATGATGGGTTTTTCTACTGTGGGTACCTAGATAGGGGGACTTTTACAGTTTTAGGCAGCGCCCGTTTGACTGTTATCTATCCACCTGATGAAAAATCACCCGTGTGCTCGTTCAACATGTTAGACCAACCAAACTCCACCAATGCAACTGTTGGTAGCAGTGTGGACCTGACTTGCATGTGGACTGGGGGTAACCCCTCCCCTACTGCCGCGTGGTACCGACTAGATGCGTCCATGGATACTCATCAGGGGAATGGTTATGTCTGGATGAGGAGGGAGCTAACGGATGAGGATAACGGTGTGGAATTCATTTGCGAGATGGAATCGGAAGGTTTGGACCAGAAGCGGAGCTGTAGCGCCATGCCTCTGAGGATACCACCGCGGGCGATCATCACGCCATCCACGGCCTACGCTCGCGTCGGTGACACGGTGGAGTTTGTCTGTGAAGGGATTGGCTTGCCGAGAATCGTCTGGTATACTTGGGAGGGACCGCCTGGCCTGACTAGGCGACAGGGGAGATACGAGCTTCTAGCCGGCAACAGGGTGCTCCGTGTTTTCGCTGTGGAAGCTGAAGACGACGGTTTGGAGATCACATGCCGGGTGCGGACTTCGCGAGGGTTGGAAGCAACTGAGAGTGCGGTTCTCAGAGTAGTCCTGCCGACAACACCGGGCCCCACAACAGTACCAGAAACAACAACAGAAGCAGTACCGTCAACAACACTCAACCCCAACCCTGAAAAGGAAACAGCCAAAGTGACGACAGGAGTGATTGACAGAGGTGCTGTGAGTCCAAAAAGTCCCAAGACAACCCCAGCACCGCCTCCCCCCGACGACAGCCAGCCGATTGCCGCCCTGCCCAAGACCACCATCATCGGTATCGGTGTAGCAGCCGGCGCGGTGCTGGTTCTCATCATCGCAGTCCTGATCATCTTCATGAAGAGATCGAGAAAGAGTCAGATCCGGCGAGATACCTCCATCCATCTCGTCAACAGCACTTACGAGACGGTGATCGAGGGAGGTCGTGTCGTGGACCAAGAAATCAGCCCTCCTCCTGGGTTCGAGAACTACGATCGCCCGCGTCCCATAGCCGCAGTGTCCCCGCTACCTCAGACTAATTCTGCGAACGGAGTTAAACCATCCGTGCGCTACGCTAAGGTCAACAAGAAGAAACCAAGAGACATCGATCCGCTCTACGACCAAGTCCCGGACGAAACTGCAGTGGATTTGGGGCTCGGGAGTCCCACTCCGAGGCGGGAACCAACCTATGTGAACCAGGGAGCCATGGAGATCAGGCAGGAACCAGACCCGAGGGGGTTTAATGCGGAGGGTCTCACCTATGCCGAGCTGGAATTGGATAGAGAGGGACGGCTACACTCCAAGAAAAGCCACACTTTGTACGCCAAACTCAAATGAGATATTGACCATATCCGCTCCGTTCACAAGTACCCCCTCACCGGCAAAGAGAGTACAGTTGGGGGTGACCGACCGACGCCATCTTGCCTAACTGCAATTCATTTGCAGCGAAGCGCGACCACTGCGTGTACGTCGGTCGGTCACCCCCATCTGTGTCACACACAAGGAACGGTGCGCGTCAACCAGCGAAATGTCCCACCCATGGGAGGTCGTTGCTAGGTAAAAGGGCGCCCTCTTTGTCGGCGCACGGAGCTCATAGGACAGATCGTTGTTACTTATTATTATTTAAATCGCCTGTGACTGTGATTTTTAAAAGCGGAGTCCATTCTTAGAAGAACCAGCCAGAGGGTGTTAACGTTCCAGTAGGTTTGCCTTTGCCGTCACCAAAGTGGCTTGACAAAACAGAGGAACCAATCACTTTTGAAATTACAGGTTGGTCCTAAAAGGTTTACACTTTTTCAGACGCACATTTCTCAAAATTGGGGGGACATGTTGAAATTGTTTTAAGATATTCCTAAAATACAAGATCTTGGTGGTATATGGTCAAAACGGCATAGAAAATAAAGCCTAAATAAAGAAACGGCGGCCATTGGCAGAAAAAAATGGTCAAAAACCAGTTTGTCCACATGCAAGTCTATGAGACATGGTCAACACAATAGCACAGCGTGTACAAAAAAAACATGACCATTATCTCAAACTGGTTTCGACTATTTTTCTGTAAAATGGCCGCCATTTCTAAATTTAGGCTTTATTTTCAACGCTATTTCACCATATACCACTAAGATCTTGTAGCTTAGGAATATCTTAAAACAATTTCAACATGTCTCCCCAAATTTGAGAAATCTGCGTCTGAAAAAGTGTAAACTTTTTGGGGGACCACCCTGTATAAAAACCTGGCATTGTCTCTTACAGTCATGTTCAAATTCGAATGAGTAATGCAATTACGTAATCACCAGATATATATTTTGTATTTTTGTAATGACTATTTAACTTGTACATTATCTAATCTGTTCATTTTGATGAAACTTTTATATATACTTTTACACGAAATTATTATAATGATGAATAAAAGTCAGCTAGCTTTTGGGATATTCGAATATTTGCGGTCTTAATTGTCTCAAAATATCCCAAAGTAAAACCCTTTTTCCAGTGGGTTACATAGGCCAAAATATAAAGCGGTCACAGCTTTTCATTAAAGTAAAAAACACAATTTGAAAATCGATGGGAAAAAAATTCGATGGCAATTTTAAATATAGAGTTTCTGTCTTGTACTTCAAAGACCTATTGTGCGATTATTTCATTGTATAACTTTTAGTTGTCAGTCAATAATTGACGAAGTATCTTTGACAATCACATTTTAACCAACCAATGAGCAAAGAGCTTTGATGACCATGGCCGGGAAATAACTATGTAGCACCCGCTCATTAGTCAATCGACTGTGAAGAAAAATATATTCTTCTGTGGTGACTGACAGTAATTATGACGTGTATTCGGTACAGGTTTCACACAAAGTTACGTGAATCACGCAATGAGCAACCGTGAATCACGTTCCCAAATTTGGCGTGAAATGGCTGCTTCAAATTGCACTCGTGATGGGTAATGATATGAGAACTACAATACTACATTGGTAATAATGGTGGTGAATTAGGCAAAACAAAAAACATCTGTCCGTTGTTCATCAGAAACATGGGAAGGAACAAGGAAGTCGACACTGAATCACGCACTGGCCAACCTTGATAGCATATCTCAGCGGATGCGGAAGAGGTATTATGTCACCTTGCAACCTTTGATTCCAACCAAAACTTGACCAGCCTTGGGTTTTGAAATACAACATGAAAAGAGCCTGCAGTTGATTGAACTCGTAGGAAATTGTACTCAACTATAAGCCCATCGTCAGCATGGTGTGAGGGTGGATTTTTTGTTATTGCCAAAAATAAATGACCTTTCTCAACTAGCGGAGGTGAAGGTTTAATGTATGCGGAAAAGGCCGCAACTGATTGAAAGGCATAAATTCACTGTGGCCTGGTTTAAGTACTAAAGAGAATACATTTAAAACGTACAGCTGAAGGATAAACTCGTCAATTTAGGTTTTAAATTTCGATCATTTAATTATTTTGTTTACACAGTGTAATTGTCTTAATTGTTTGACAATTTCCTCGCTATTCAACAGAATTGTGTTATATATCTCTATCTGTATTTTCTGTATCTGTGTCTGTATATTGTCGCGCTGAACATACTACATTGTTTTGGTTATATCATTTTAATTGTTTGACTTCTCTCGGTATGTAATAGAAATGTGTTATATATCATGACCAATAACTAGATGAAATTTTAATTTGATACAACAGTATTTCTTGAGTTATCTTCTGGAAACTGAGTGCGTTGTTTTTGTGTCATGAAAGTTTACTCAAAATCGCCAGTTATTTTTTGCGCTTAACACACTTCATTTTCGGGATATATCAATTTTATATCTAGGCAATTCCTCTCCTAATTCAAAAGTGTTGTGTTATCTATCCAGATCAATCAGGAAATATATATTTACTTTAACCCAACGAATGTTTCTTAAGTAATTGTCTCCACAAAGAGGGTATTGTTTATGTTTTATGAAAGTTGACTTAAATTCGCCTTACATTGTTCGTGCTTCACTCACTAAATTGCTTTGGTTATGTTATAGTGTCATAAGTTAACACTTTCTCCCCATATTCGACAGATTTTTGTTATCTGACACATTCAATTAATGTACGAAATTTCAATTCAATGCAACAGATATTTCCTGAGCTATCTTCTGGAAACCGAGTGTGTTGTTTTTTTGCATCATGAAAGTTGACTCAAAATTGCCAGTTATTTTTTGCGCTTAACACACTACATTTCCGGAGTATATTGATTGTATTTGTCGATGACTCCTATCTAAAGTCAACAGTGTTGTGTTATCTATCCCGATCAATCAGGAGATATAATTGCACTCTTATACAACAAATGTTTCTGGAGTTATTTTCTCCACAAAGCCGGTATTGTTCATGTTTTATGAACGTTGACTTTAATTCACCTCATATTTTTCGTGCTTAACACTCTACATTGTTTTGGTTCTATTATTTGTATTAATTAACAATTTCTCCCAATATTGAAGAGAATTATGCTGCATACCACATGACATTAATGTATGACAGTTCAATTCAATGTATAACAAGCATTTCTTGAGTTATCGTCCGGAAAACGAGCGTGTTGTTTTGATCCCATATTATAAGTTGACTTGTATAACATGTATTTTCAAAAGAGGGCGCGCAAAACAAATAATGGTCAACACCTAAATAATGTTTGTCTTCACTGAGAAAAAAAACAGGTATTTCCTAAAGGTCGTCCGCACGATCAATTGTGTGTTTTTTGATAAGAAATTAAGCAGGGTTTAATCAGACTTTAACTGAAATCAGGCAGATTTTTCTCCGTCTTGACAACCATTCTGTGAGATATCGTAGTGACCACTATGTGAAGTGCGCCCTCTTTTGAAAAGACAATAATCGGTTTACATATTTTCGCCCTTAACATACCAATTTGTTTTTGTTGTATCATTTTAATTGCTTGACAATTTCTCTCGATATTCGTTAGACATGTGTTATATATCAAACCAATAAATAGATGAAATTTCAATTTGTTACAAAAGGTATTTCCTGAGTTATCTTCTGGAAACCGAGTGTGTCGCTTTTGTGTCATGAAAGTTGTCTCAAAATCGCCAGTTATGTTTCCCGCTTAACCCTAAAGGGGCCGGGTTATTTTGACCATCTCTCAGCCGGGGGGATTCCGCCCCCCCCCCCCCCCCCTAAGATCTCGGCCATCGAGTGACAAAAAAATTTTGAAACTCAGCACATGCATAGAGCAACTCTTCCTTAACATGCCCAAGAAATTTCATGACTATAGGTCAAAGGGTTTTGGAATTATGGCTAATTAATTATTCATATGTATGAATGGCAATTCTGCTCGGTGTACACGACGTATATGCGAAAATTCAGTTTTCACGGCGCGTAGCGCCGGAAAATTTTTCGCTACGTGCCAACCCCTGGTCCGATTTTTATGTTTTTGGTATCAAAAGATGCGTAAAGCTCGAGGCTAAAAAGTCATAACAGCTCGGGTTGCGAAAAAAATTTTTTTAGAAGCTATCGCGGAAAATGTTGAGGGGGGGGGGGGCGGATTCCGCCCCCCCCGGCCCTTTTAGGGTTAACACGTACATTGTTTCTTTTATAATAATTTTATGAATTAATGATTATTCTCCAAATTTGTGTTATCCATCTAGTTTAATCAATACATGAAATTTCAATTCAATGTAGCAGATACGTCTTGAGTTATATTCTGGAAACCGAGTGTTTTTTGTGTGTTTTGTATCATGAATGTTGACTCAGGCTATTTTTGTGCTTATCACACTACATTTCCTGGGATAAGTTAATTATATCTGTTGATGATATTTCTCCAAAATCAAGAGTATTGTGTTACATAATGACGACCGATGAGGAGACATAATTTCACTCCATTACAACAAATGTTTCTGGTGTTATTGTCTCCACAAAGAGAGTATTGTTTATGTTGTATGAACATTAACTTTAATTCACCCCATTTTTTTTTATTAACACACTAAATTGTTTTGGTTCTATTGCTTTTATTGGATAACAATTCTTCTCAATATTCAACATATTTGTTTTTAAAGTCACATTTAATCATTGTACGCAATTTCAATTTAATGCAACAAATATTTCTTGAGTTATCGTCTGGATAAGTTATCGAGTGTGATGTTTTTGTGTTATGAAAAAAGACTCAAATTCGCCTTGTATTTTTCACGCTTAACACGCTAAATTGTTTGGGTTATATTATTTTGATTGTTTGACGATTCTGCTCCATTTTCAAACAGTTAGTGTTACCTAGGATGACCAATCACTCAACAAAATTTTACTTCAATACATATCATATTTGTTGAGATATCGTCTCCTGAACGAGTGTGTTGCTTTCGTGTAATAAAAGTTGAGTAAAATTCGCCTTGTATTTTTCACGTTTAATATGCTTGTGGTTTGCCATCTCCCTTTGTTTCTTTGTTCTCTCATCCGCCCTTCCCTGCATCTTTCCACACCTTTCACACCTAATCCTCCTTTTGTGTTTCTTCTTTCAGCCCTGCATGTTTGTGTGCACCCCCATGTTAATGTATGTACCTCTGTCATTTCTGTTTTAGCCTCTGAAGAAGAACTTGCTAAGTTCGCAACGTCAGGCCACATTAATTTTAAGATGAGTTTAATATGCTAAATTGTTCGGGTCGTATTATTTTAATTGTTTGACGATTCTTCTCCAATTTCAAACAGTTAGTGTTACCTATGATGACCAATCGCTCAATGAAATTTTACTTCAATACATATCATATTTGTTGAGATATCGTCTCCACAACGAGTGTATCGTTTTTGTTCCATGAAAGTTGATTTGAATTCGAGTTGTATTGATCGCGCTTAACACGCTACATTATTTCGGTTATAATAATTGTATTAATTATTGATTCCCCTCCAAATTCAACAGATTTGTTTCATCTGTTTAGTTTAATCTATATATGTAATTTCAATTCAATGCAAGATATACTTTTTGAGTTATCTCTGGAAACTGAGTGTGTTGCTTTCGTGTCATTAAGGTTGAGTAAAATTCCCCTTGTATTTTTCACGTTTAATATGCTAAATTGTTCGGGTCGTATTATTTAACTGTTTTACGATTATTCTCCAATTTCAACCAGTTTGTGTAGCCTATGACGACCAATCACTCAATAAAATTTTACTTCAATACATTAAATATTTCTTGAGATATCGTCTCCACAACAAGTGTATCGTTTTTGTTCCATGAAAGTTGACTTGAATTCGGCTTGTATTGATCGCGCTTACTTTACTAATATTTTACGGCTCCAAACTTTCTGGAAAGTTTCTAAGGGGTCCTAGAATGCATTCCAACTGGATTTCTGGAGAAAAATTGGTTTTGAAAAGAAATTATGAGTCAATTTTTTGTGGCAAAATCAGTCAAAATTATGCATGTTTTCTTCAAAAATTATAATTGTTGCCCAAACCTTCGAAATTATAGCTGTTTCGGTACTAAATGATATTCCCCTTCCATCTAGGGTCATTTATGCGACGTTTGAAGAAAAGTCATTTTTGGGGGCAAAATTTGATCAAAAATTTAAGTCTAACCCCTTGCAATTTTTTCAATTTTGGCCCCAAAATGAAATTGCTCCAAACTTTCTGGAAAGATGCCTGAGGGGCCCTTAAACGCATTCCAACTGGAATTTTGGAGAAAATAGCCTTTCAAAAGATGCCACAGGCGACCATCAATCGCCCCCAGACGTACGTACCGCTAGAGGCGACCATCAATAGTCGCCTATAGTGGTACGTACCGCTGGGGGCGACTACTGATGGTCGCCTCTAGCGGTACGTACCGCTGGGGGCGACAATTGATGGTCGCCTCTAGCGGTATACTCCAGCGGTATACCGCTAGAGGCGACCATCAAATGTCGCCTCTAGCGGTACGTTAGAGGCTGGGGGCGACAATTGATGGTCGGGATACCCCAGCGGTATACCGCTAAAGGCGACCATCAATAGTCGCCTCTAGCGGTACGTACCGCTGGGGGCGACTACTGATGGTCGCCTCTAGCGGTACGTACCGCTGGGGGCGACAATTGATGGTCGCCTGTAGCGGTATACCCCAGCGGTATACCGCTAGAGGCGACCATCAAATGTCGCCTCTAGCGGTACGTTAGAGGCTGGGGGCGACAATTGATGGTCGCCTCTAGCGGGATACCCCAGCGGTATACCGCTAGAGGCGACCATCAATAGTCGCCTCTAGCGGAACGTACCGCTGGGGGCGACTACTGATGGTCGCCTCTAGCGGTACGTACCGCTGGGGGCGACAATTGATGGTCGCCTGTAGCGGTATACCCCAGCGGTATACCGCTAGAGGCGACCATCAATAGTCGCCTCTAGCGGTACGTACCGCTAGAGGCGACCATCAGTAGTCGCCCCCAGCGGTACGTTCCGCTAGAGGCGACTATTGATGGTCGCCTCTAGCGGTATACCGCTGGGGTATACCGCTAGAGGCGACCATCAGTAGTCGCCTCTAGCGGTACGTAGCGGTAGAGGCGACCATCAATAGTCGCCTCTAGCGGTACGTACCGCTGGGGGCTGGGGTCGCCTCTAGCGGGATACCCCAGCGGTATACCGCTAGAGGCGACCATCAATAGTCGCCTCTAGCGGTACGTACCGCTGGGGGCGACTACTGATGGTCACCTCTAGCGGTACGTACCGCTAGAGGCGACTATTGATGGTCGCCTCTAGCGGTATACCGCTGGGGTATACCGCTAGAGGCGACCATCAGTAGTGCGGTACGTACCGCTGGGGGCGACAATTGATGGTCGCCTCTAGCGGGATACCCCAGCGGTATACCGCTAGAGGCGACCATCAATAGTCGCCTCTAGCGGTACGTACCGCTGGGGGCGACTACTGATGGTCACCTCTAGCGGTACGTACCGCTAGAGGCGACTATTGATGGTCGCCTCTAGCGGTATACCGCTGGGGTATACCGCTAGAGGCGACCATCAATTGTCGCCCATCAGAGGCGACCATCAGTAGTCGCCTCTAGCGGTACGTACCGCTGGGGGCGACTACTGATGGTCGCCTCTAGCGTTATACTCCAGCGGTATTCCTCTAGCGGTCGCCCCCAGCGGTATACCGCTAGAGGCGACCATCAAATAGTCGCCCCCAGCGGTATACCACTAGAGGCGACCATCAATTGTTCTAACACTGCAATTTCCTTTTATTATATTTATGTGACTCGTTCTTTCACAGTTCCTGTTAGTTTTCGAATTTTTGTGTCAAATATCATGGCCAACTATTGGCCAGTATTTTACTTAAATGCAAAGTGTATATCTTGAGATTTCGTCGTCACAATAACTTTATTTAAATGCGGTGAGCATTGTTTATGTAGCGCGCCCTCTTTTGGAAGAAATTGTTGACGGGCCTACAAATTTCCGTTCACTGCAATTTCCTTAAATTATATTTGTGCCATTCTTTAACGGTTTCTGTCAATATTCGAGAGTCTTGTGTCAAATATCATGCCAAAATATTGGACGAGATTTCATTTCAATGCATAGTGTATAACTTGAGATTTCGCGCTCACAACTTTGTTTATATCGCAAATGGACAGAAGTCGGCGCGCGCTTAACAGTGTTTATGTATTATTTCCGAGCTATATGAGTAAGCCGATCGCAATAGCCTAGTGGTAGGCAACCTAGCGCTCAATCGAGTGGTAACGGGTTCGAAACCTGCTGAATTCTCAACTGAGCATATTTATTCCTTTTTACTTGATTATATAAATATTAACTACGGTCGTGACCAAATAGACAATATACATGTAATTAAAACACCTAGAACGGCCGTTTATGGTTTTAAACTTTTAAACATTTGTTTATGGAGGGGGAGGGGGGGGGGAGGTTGGGAGGCAATTTAAGAATAAGGCTAACCCCTTGCTAAAGATTTTTGTTGAAACTTTCTGGGGAGATTTTCAGAGGTCCCTACAACACATTCCTCAATAGATATATTCAGAAAAATTTTACGGGACAATAAATTAAATGGGTCGAAAATCGGGGCAAAATAAGTACAATTTCCAACCTATTTTTGAAAAATTGTACTTGCAGAAATGTAATCTGGGCATTAAATAGGCTGTTCTTGAACAGAAAGTTTTTTCCAAGTGGTTTGAATTTTTTTTGGGGGGGGGAGGGGTATGTTTCGAAATCATTACAAACGTAAGGCTTACCCCTTGCAATTTTTTTTTACCGAAAATTGTTTAACTGTTTTTCAGAGATATTTAGTGATCCCTTCTAAAATGGGTGGATTTTTCCTGGGAAAAAAATGTGTATTTTGGTACAATTTTGAAAGTTTTTTTTCTGAGTGGTTTGTAGAAAACAAATGGGAGGGGGTTTAAAATAATTAACATTGTAGGGTTAACTCCTTGCAATTTTTCAAAATTTGTTTGGCTAAAAACTGAAAGTGTCCCAGAACGCTGGGCAATTAAACAAATATCCATACAAATAAAAAACCAAGATATTATATGTTGTCACTGCTCATTTTGTTTTTAATTATTGAATAGCATGACCAATAAACAAGTGTGTATTAAAAAAACCCAGTTCATTTGAGAATTAACGATGGCAATGTCCATATTAACTACGCACCAGAAAGGTAAAGTAATTTCTTCACAAACTGTGATTACGAAATACTTGTTGATTGTGGAAAACAACATAAGAAAATGTGATCGTTAGAATGCCTACTACTACACAGTCGCTGCAGATTTACGGAAATATTCGGTTTGTAGAACTTTATAAAATAACACAAATCACACCGAATGATAAAAAAAAAACCAAATCAGCTTATAAAAGTTATTTCAGACATCTAAAAAGTCGATTAGATCAGCATGGAGTTAGTAAAGTGTACTACATGTACTTCCAGAAAACTCTTCATGAAACAGCCGTTTGGCAGGTAGGTTTGCGTAGAGCAGGAAGTTTAGATAATTAATGCGCACAGATTTTTTTTTTCGGGGTTGTTTAAAAACCTAATACACTTTTTGAAAACCCAGATTGCTTTGATCAAATAAAAAAAAAAAAAACTGCCAGACAATATAAAAAAGAGAGTATGTGCACAAGACAAGAAACGCCTAGAAAAGCCGGTCTCAGAGTGCACAGGGGAGTCAGGTTGGCGTATCGGTACTTCCCTCGCCTTCCACCGCTGTGACCGGGTTCGGATCCAGCCTGGGCCAATATGTGGATTGGGTTTTCAGTCCCTGCCTGATTCCGTGTTTTTTCCTCAGAATATTCCTCTGGGCTTTTCCTCCCACCTCTAAAACTGTAATTTCTTCTCATTGTCTTCTCTCTACAGGTTTCTTCAGGCTTGCGAGCTACAGTGCCTAGGGCGCTTTTGAGGAATCCTTGGTTTCATTACCAGAAATGATTAATAAAAATAATAATAATATTCCATTCAATTGCTTCAGAATGGCATCTGGTCTGCACAATAGGCGAGATTGAGCCCACTCATTGGCGTTAGGGAATCCTATACAACAGCACTGCCCAGCTCACACTGTAACAGTGAGGGGCCGGTCAGTGAGATATGGCACTCTGGGACCTACAAAAACAAGTCGTGTTCATTGTCAGGGGATAGGCGTTATTGGACATGCAGCAATTCAATCTTCTGGACTGTCAGAGATATACTTGCCATTTTTTTGTTTGACACTATTACATATTCTTGCATATATTAAGCAGGTATTGGCATCAATTCAGTTATTCACAAACTCCAAGCGGCCCAGTTTATTGATCACGGATGCAAGCCCGAGAAACAAGACAGTGGAAAACAGTGGGCTTTTTTTTCCAACTTTTTTTTTTGGTTTTGTACTCTAAATTTACTTTCAAGTTTTACAAACATGTCTCCACGCCTTGTCCAAGGTCGGTTTGTGAGATAGGTACACACAGAGGACGCTATTTAGTCACAAAAATGTCACAAACATCTTTGATTCCCACAAAAAGTTTGCCCATTATAACTGTCGATTTCCCAAGAGGGGCAAAGAATTAATACTCGAAAAAAGGACCCAACAAATTGTGTCACTGTTTACAGCTTCTCATCGTATCATGTGATCTGAAAGCCACATGACTAGTCACATGACAAAGTCATCACATGACACACAACGGCAATTGTGATCAACTGTTGATGCTGAAGGCATGTGAACAGAAATTCTAGCAACTGTGGTTTACAGACCCAAACAAACATATTTCAAGCTTCAATCTTTGAATGAAGTTTCTACGAGAAATGCTTCATTTTCCTGACATTTTAGCTTGTTAGTTGCACTTGTTCAATTCATTTTTGTGCTTGTGGTGGTGTGGAAAAAAAATGAAAGATAGTGGAAAAACTAAAACCAAAAACAGAATGGTTATTATGCAGCAAAAGATACATAGGCAATGAAATGATTTCACTTGCAATTCGGGCAATTCACAATGCAGTGCGCCACCAAGAGTTTGCCGTGGAGAGTTCATTTTTCCCAGTGCATTGTGGGAGAAGTGCGGGCCATTTGAAATTGTTAGTTTTTCAGGTCAGAAGTTTCATAAGCGTATGATTCGAGTATCTGTTTGCCCTTTTCTTTTCTTTTTATCAATATGGTGTATTTCGTAAGGCGGCAAACGTTACGCCCCAATCTATAACAAATTAGCACAAGTTGTCTACTGACACTCGTTCAAATGGGCCGTGTTTTGTTGACCGTAAACTTGAAAAATGGACTCCATGGCAAACTCTTGGTGGCGCACTGTATTGTGAATCGCCCAAATTGAAAAAGACTTTTGTTTTTTGGTCATCAGGAATTTTTCACTTGAACATAAGGAATCCAGATTATTAAAGGTTGATTTAGTCAGTTTTTCAATTTTTTTAATTGGTTTTTTTTTTTGGGGGGGGGTTTCACAAATTGTTTACTTTTATTAGTACAAGCGTCCAAACTTATGCTGAGCAGCCTTGTATTGAGATATTCCTCGAAAGATAAACAACTGAAACTTTTCAAGGCAAAACCTTCTTATTTCTGAATGATTCATATTGATATGTTTCATCCAAGTTACTTTCATTGTCCCGTCAGCTCAACGCTCTCTTGGGTAAAACACTGCTGTTTATTCGAAGTATACCTTCGTTAAACTATATACAATTTCCTGGTACGTAGCTGCGAGCGACATTACTGATATGTTCCATGTTCCAGATATGGTAAAAACAGAGGGAAAGACCTTTCTGTCATAAAAAGTCTTATAACTTGACCACAGATGAAAAACTAACAGGCACTGACCAAGGAAAAGGAAGGTATTACAGCTATTTTATGAAATGGAATCATATTCACGCCATAACGTCCCATAAAGAATTTATTATAAATTCGTCTTTACTTGAGAGTCATTTTTACAAATGAACAACGTATCTTACATTACTATGCACAAACCCTCTGATGTAGTAAAGGGCGATTTGTGGTATCGTTGGTTTTTGGTAAAATCGGATACGAGGTCCCACGTGCCATTTCAAGAGGTTTTTAGTAATTGTGATAAAAACTACTCTGATATGAACAGCAAAAAAGAAAAAGAAAAAGGAAAAAACACCTGTCATTCAACCAAGGCCCTAGGGGTGGGCGTGGCTAGTGTTGAACAAAAGGGGAGGGGGATAGGGGAGGGGTTGGCTATGTACGGTGGAAGAGCTGCATGTGGTTATTTCTCTACTCGTAGTATTCCCATAAATCCTTCTCGTAGCCTTCGTGGACGTGTTCTAGTAGAACCTTCCTCCTACTTTCACAGTACCTGTGCCAAAGAAGAAAACAATTGTTTAGAAATAAGAGGAAACCGAGTGGATTTTATTTGATTTCATCAGAAAAAGTGACGCCAAGAAGTGTAATAGTCAAATCCTGCTCAAATCCTAACAAATCCAATCTTGTCCTCACACGTCCTCACAAGAACTAACAAGTCCTTACAAGTCCTCAAAAGTCCTCACAGGTCTTCACAAATCCTCACAAATGAATCACTAGTTCTTGCATGTCTTCACAAGTCCTTACAAGGCCATCACAAGTCCTCAAAAGTCTTCACCAGTCCTTACAAGTCCTCACATCCTTCACAAGTTCTCACAGGTGAATCACAAGTTCTTGCAATTCCTCACAGGTAATTGCATGTCAGCACAAGTCCTTACAAGGCCATAACAAATCCTCACAAGTACCCACAAGTTCTCACAAGTCCATCACAAGTCCATCACAAGTCCACACGAGTTCTAACAAGTCCTTACAAGTCCTCACATAGCCTTATACATGTACGTCAATCACAAACCCTCATAAGTGCTAACAATGCCTTACAAGTCCTCCCAAGTCCTCCCATAGCCTTAGAAGTCCATCACAAGTCCTCACAAGTCCATTACTAGTCGCCATAAGCCCTTACACTTACAAGTCCTCCCAAGTCCTCACATAGCCTTATACATGTAAGTCAATCACAAGTCCTCACAAGTCCTAACAATGCCTTACAAGTCCTCAAAAGTCTTCTCAAGTCCTCATATAGCCTTAGAAGTCCATCACAAGTCCTCACAAGTCCTTACAAGTCCCCACAAGTTCATCGGAAGTCCACACAAGTCCTTACAAGTCCCCACAAGTCCCCAAATTAAAAGTCCATCTCAAGTCATCCAGTCAAAAGTCAAGTCTTAAGTAATTCAAATGAACTGGGACAAAGGCATTCCTTTGATATTGGTCATCCTCTGTTTAATGTGATTATTATTGTACACGAGGCTTCGTCTCGCCGGCTGAGAGTGGTAGGCTGTTTTGCCGACCATCCCCTGCTTCGCCCTTGGCGTAGACGTTGTGTACGTGGGAATGGCCAATGCAACAGCACCCTCTAGTGAGTGTGCGTGCGGGTCCTACCTTGTTTTATCCTGGACCTTCTGTTTGATGTCGGCCAGTGCGTCGCTGCTAATGTCCCTCTCCAGGTATTCCGATAGCATCTCCGTGGCATTCTCTAAATCTTTCTGGTTTTCCTGAAACCAAAACGTCGACCCAATTTGTTGAAAAATAAAGGCATGTTTACATAAGGCAATGATGTGTGCTTGGGATGTGTTAAACACTATGATTAAGACTGTTTGGAATCTGGAATGCTGATAATTACCCTAGGCGAACCCATTCATAAATACCTTTTCGGTCAAAACAAAATCAAAAGTTTTCAGTCTCAAAGTCAAACAAGTCCAAAATTAAAAATTTCAAACAATTTTGTCAAACAATTCTACTTTCTGTTTTTCGAAATAATGGAGTGTCCAGCTTGCGAGTAAGACGTAAACAACTCTTTTATGGAGATTGACCTTCGTATCGCGCTTCTGCGCGATGACGTGCAGATGCAGCTGTGGTGAGCGCGTTGTGAATTAGGACTATGAAATCCCGACTCACTGGTAGAATAGCACATGCTTATATGAGGATTGCGAACGTGCAACCAATATAGTGGCACTGGATTTCATAGGAGTCAAAATTTCATGTGACACTGGAGAAGTGTTTAAGACCAGCTAGCCATGTCTTTATCAGCCGTTTAAGAACGGCCATGTGACGGGCTCTCGACCAAAAGGAATGGGTAAACTGTCCAAGTACAATATATTTAAAGGCATATAGGGTCATTTGCTTTTCATGCATTTTGTTCTTTTCCAATAATAACACCACTCAAAATCCAACGATGAATATTCAAACCTAACCTACTGAAGTTTCAGCTCAGTGGATATTACATTTTGCCGGAAAACAGCAAAAAAAACCCAAAAACTTGTATTTCTGCACTCTGTATTTCTGAAAATCAGTCAATTTACTGATCGTTGGAAATCACCTACATTTCTTGATTTCTTCTAAATGACAGCAAGCCAGACGGAATAATTTTACAGAGTGTTTAGTACCAGTACGATCCTTAATCTAAGTAAGCTTTTAGATAATAGTTTGGTTGGTTACTTTTTTGGGATAAATGCAAATGATCTTATACGCTATTAATGGGTATAAATAGCTGGGAACAAAGTACCACTGCAAAAGATTTTTAAAATAAGAGTACTACAATATTTTTCAGGGAGATCCTACCTCAAATATGAGCGACTGGTTGTTCTTCTTGAGATAAAAGGCGAATACGTAGGTATACATGAGCGTGGATCGGCACTGGCATAAGACGTCGACGGCTTTCTTCAAGAACTGTACCTCAATCCAGGACATGTTGTGTTGCTGCATGTCTTCCATTTTCTTCATGATCTGGGAGTACAGCTGAAAAGGTGTATTACACCAAAAATTATTGATACTGGGTTTCGCATATCGAAAAAAAAAATAGTTTCTTGGTTTTATTCGATCCTACATATTTCTTAATGTAATAATATTAATGATACCGGGGTCTTGTATAGTGGACGTATCAACCAACAATTAGGTTCGCTAGTGAATTTATTTTAAAGACAGGTAAGTGAATTATTTGAAATTATGAGAACCATTTTATACAGCACCTTTTAAGGGTTTACAAGGTGCTGCGGCACATTAAGCAGCCACTGCCAGAAACATCGGGGCAAACCCCTTCTCTAAGCGTTAAGTGTTACTGGGTTCTTTTACGTGCATTATACAACACACGGGACCTACAGCTTTATGTCCCATCCGAAAGACGAAGCAATATTGGTTAAGTGTCTTGCTTAAGGACATGAGTGTCAAGACCGGGACTCGAACCCACACTCTGCTGATCAGAAACACCAGAGCTTGAGTCCGGTGCTCATAACCGCTCAGCCATGACACTCCATGTACAATGCTTTGTGTCTAGAATGTCTCCTGATTTGGGAAATTTTGTCACTTTTAGTCACACACATTTCATAAAAAAAAAAACCAAATGTGATGCGATCAAGCTACATTTAGTCGTTTGTCGACCCTGGTCAAAAATGTTTTTATTACAGATTTGAAAAGAGCACAATCTCAGCATTACTGCTGTGAAAACTGCATGCTGATACCATCTTTAGTTCAAAAATTATGGAAATCGGAACTCCAGGAGATGTGATGAAGTGATGCGATGAAGTGGTCCTATTTTGGCCTGTATCACCAAATGAAAATTCCCGACAAACGACTCATGTAGCTTGATCGCATCACAAATATGAGCTATTATCTGTTTTGAAAGATCTGAACGTAAACTTTTCGGTCACACCTTACAAATTCCATGTGTTGCTCGGAAGCAGAATGTTAAGAAATTTGTTTGGACTTTCAAAATTTGAGACCAAGCTGAAGTGATTTGGAAAAACGGACTAGGGCAAAGCAGACAAAACCCACTGAAGTTCCAGACGGGAACAAATATTTTTTTTCAGGAGAAACTCCCATGTACTGCAATATTCTGTAGGTATTATCTCCCAGAAAACTTTTAATTCAGGTGATTCACAATGCAGTGCGCCACCAAGAGTTTGCCATGGAGAGTCCATTTTTCAAGTTCACGGTCGACAAAACTTGGCCCATTTGAACGAGTGTCAGTAGACAACTTGAGCTAATTTGGTATAGATTGGGGCATAGCGTTCAGCCGCCTTACAAAAACACCATATTGATAAAAAGAAAAGAAAAGGGCCAACATATACTTGAATCATACACTTACGAAACTACTGGCCAGAAAAAACAAACAATTTCAAACGTCCCACATTGCGATTTGGCGACCATCTCCCACAATGCACTACGAAAAATGAACTCTCTGTGGCAAACTCTTGGTGGCGCACTGCATTCTGAATCGCCCTAATTGCTGCAACTCACCTTATTTTCAAAGCGTAAACTCTGCATATGGTTCATGTAGCGATTACAGTAGAATAAGTAACGCTCTAATGCTTGTCTTGATCTCTGTCAAATTTGAAAAAAAAGGAGCAAAAAACTTATTTTCACAGATCCATGAACAACTCCGTAAAACCGTAATAACAATTACATGTAAGTGTTTGGGTGGTTTGGGGCGGTACAGGGAGTAACAGGCAGGGTGGTTTGGGGCAGTACAGGGAGTAACAGGCAGGGTGGTTTGGGGCAGTACAGGGAGTAACAGGCAGGGTGGTTTGTGGCAGTGCAGGGAGTAACAGGCAGGGTGGTTTGGGGCAGTACAGGGAGTAACAGGCAGGGTGGTTTGGGGCAGTACAGGAGTAACATACAGGGTGGTTTGGGGCGGTACAGGGAGTAATAGGCAGGGCGGTTTGGGGCAGTACAGGGAGTAACAGGCAGGGCGGTTTGGGGCAGTTAAGGGAGTAACAGGCAGGGTGGTTTGGGGCAGTACAGGGAGTAACAGGCAGGGTGGTTTGGGGCAGTACAGGGAGTAACAGGCAGAGTGGTTTGGGGCAGTACAGGGAGTAACAGGCAGAGCGGTTTGGGGCAGTACAAGGAGCAACAGCCAGGCAGTTTGGGGCGGTACAGGGAGTAACAGGCAGGGCAGTTTGGGCGGTACAGGAGGCAACAGGCAGGGTGGTTTGGGGTAGTACCGGGAGTAACAGGCAGGGCCGTTTGGGGCAGTACAGGGAGTAACAGGCAAGGTGGTTTTGGGCAGTACAGGGAGTAACAGGCAGGGCAGTTTGTGGCAGTGCAGGGAGGAACAGGCAGGGTGGTTTTGGGCAGTACAGGGAGCAACAGCCAGGCAGTTTGGGGCGGTACAGGGAGTAACAGGCAGGGTGGTTTGGGGCAGTACAGGGAGTAACAGGCAGGGTGGTTTGGGGCAGTACAGGGAGTAACAGGCAGGGCGGTTTGGCCAGAACAGGGAGTAACAGGCAGGGCAGTTTGTGGCAGTACAGGGAGTAACAGGCAGAGCGGTATGGGGCAGTACAGGAAGTAACAGGCAGAGCGGTATGGGGCAGTACAGGGAGTAACAGGCAGGGCGGTTTAGGGCAGTACAGGGAGTAACAGGCAGGGCGGTTTGGCCAGAACAGGGAGTAACAGGCAGGGCAGTTTGTGGCAGTACAGGGAGTAACAGGCAAAGCGGTATGGGGCAGTACAGGGAGTAACAGGCAGAGCGGTATGGGGAAGTACAGGGAGTAACAGGCAGGGCGGTTTGGGGCAGTACAGGGAGTAACAGGCAGGGCGGTTTGGGGCAGTACAGGGAGTAACAGGCAGGGCAGTTTGGGGCGGTACAGAAAGTAACATGCAGGGCGGTTTGGGGCAGTACAGGGAGTAACAGGCAGGGTGGTTTGGGGCAGTACAAGGAGTAACAGGCAGGGTTGTTTGGGGCGGTACAGGGAGTAACAGGCAGGGCGGTTTGGGGCAGTACAGGGAGTAACAGCCAGGGCAGTTTAGGGCAGTACTATATGAGGGCAGTTAAGTACTTTGAAGATGAGGGAAAAAAACGATGAACTTACAGCTTGGGCATCCCTGGCTTTTTTGGCATCTTCCTCATCAAATCTATTACAGTTATACCTGTGAATACAAATAAATACAATTATATAGTTATTGTAATAACTGTTAAAGTCTGTTCACCTCAATAAACCTACACTGCTATAATTTGATACTTGTTACATCAAACCTATTCTTACACACATCATCCTCTGCTACTCGTCCTATGTTTAAAACTTATACTTCCAAAATATTCTATACATTCATATACTACTCAAGTTCTTTTTTCACAGTACAGTGAAACGCTGCTATAACGAACATCGCGGGATCCACAGAAATTGTTCCTAATAGCGATCGTTCAGTAAAGCGATGTTTTTAAGCTGCCGGTGCTCCGGTACTCACTTTTCAATAAATAGCCCCTTCAGAACTTAAACCTGCACGCCCTGGTAGTTACTGAAAGATGACTTTCAAAACACGTGCCGACTACTGAATTAAGTAATCACACAGTTTTTGAGCTTGCTACCTACAGCAATGGGTGGCTTTCCCCTTCTATTCCTTGGGGAAATAATAGCCACTTGTAGCTCTTCTGTTGACATTTTTCAACAACAGTGTTCGGTACATTTTGTACACGAAAATTGGGAGCCAAGGGCGATGTTCTGTATAGCAAAATGTTTGGTACAGCAGTGTTCAGTGGAGCGACGTTCCATAAACTACTCACAGTTTCACTATAATTGCACAGGCTGAACCACAGCTATTTTATGCTACTGCAATAAGTTTTTCTACAAATATATTTGACTTCATATTACCACGATGATCCGTGCGGCTCCCATGGACCGAGACAGACCCAACAAAAATCAGCCTGCAAGAAAAATAAACAATTCACAGAATTATATTTGACGTCAATTTGCCTCTAACTCTAAAACTGAAGAATTCACTGAGCGTGGAAATCACTTGCTAGGCAAAGACAGGTTACCAGCCAAGATCTCATCCAATGTACATGGTGAGTCACTGGTACTCCGCTGGTTCACGCTGAGCACATACAAGTATAATTTGCTCATCACATAATTCTGCTTGACAAATTCATGAAATTGACCCCTGACCTTATATATGCAGACAGGTAGCGGTGTTTTTCTCTGCAGCACACATCGTCAATGGATCATGATTATTCAGCTAGTGTGATGTTTATTCATGAAAAAATAACAACGACGTCACACCAATGCTATCGCTCAGTCATGCATGTTCATTAAAGCATTTCAAAGAACGGCTTTCGTCGAGCTGCCACAGTGGCCTAGTGGATAGTGGAATGAACTATGGATTGCAAGATCTGTGGTTCGAACCCATGTCCATTTTCATCATATCTGTTTGTTGGTTGGGATAGGTTTAATTGAAGGAAAAACACAACGAGAGCGTAAGTGTCTTCCATCCACACAGCGTGATAAATATTCATGTTAGGGTGCGTGATGTGATGGGTTAAAATTAGCCCCATAAATGTGGCCAATTTACTGGACTATCTCCATAAATAAAGGCCACACTTGGAACAAGTACCCGAAAATGTAGAACTTTGTCAAGTTTTTATTTTCACATTTAGACTTTGTTTGTAGTTTATTTATGCTTTGGAAGCACACTCACCCTCTTTAAAGCGATAGAAAATTAATACCTCCTTTTTCAGACGTCTATATTTCGCACACGTTAGCGTATCTTGCACACATAAGCGTATCTAAATTCCAACACAAAATTACACGAAAAATGGGGGGGGGGACTAATTTTCTATCGCTTTAAAGCGGGTGAGTGTGCTTCTAAAGCCTAAATAAACTGCAAACAAAGTCTAAATGTGAAAATAAAAACTCGACAAAGTTCTACGTTTTCGGGTACGTGTTCCAAGTTTGGCCTTTATTTACGGAGGTAGTCCAATAAATTGGCCACTTTTATGGGGCTACATGTAGGTTGAAATACGATGTATGCTGCAAAAAAAACAAACATATGCGGACAGGTAATGCATTCAAGGTCAAAGGTTAACAATGCACACATCATTCTCTGACTCTTCATCTGAGATATTAAATTTTAAAATAACCTCAAAACTATACTTAATCTCTCAATCTTTTTTTCTTGTTTCTTTCTTACCTTACAGTTTTGGTTGCGACAGACCATGTGGTTGCATCCCCCATCTTTCTCGATGGTCACATGACACTTCGGACACTCTTTCGTGTTGGCCGATATCCAGTTGGACGTTTCGCTGTCGTCATCGCATTTTTTGATCCATTTCCTCAGCCACTACAAACGACGGTAGACATTCAATATGAGATTGACTCAAATCGGGGGAAATTTAAAATGCATTTACTAAATAATGGGATACAATCCCAAATGTTAATTTTTTTCCCTTTCTTTCTCAATGAAATACACTCACATGACCTGATTTCCCATTAGTCAATAAAAGGCAAACCTCGTCCCCAGGGTGTCGAGCAGTTCGCACCCACCACTACCTGCTCTCTCACCCGTGCAAGATTTTTGAACACGTATGCAAATGAGGAATAGTCTGGTGCCTGCCTGTGTGTTACATTAGCATTTGTTTTGTATGCGGTGTCTGGGTAAAAGCAGAATCAGTTCGTCGCTCCGTGATATACAAAAACACGATTGTTTTCGAAGTTAAAATGTTACAATCTTATTCCGCCAATATGCAGTATCACATTTCATATTAATATGAGCAAATTGGAAAGGAAAGGAGTATTTTTGAGAAGGCGTGGATGTTATAATTACAATGATCGTGAAAACACGTAATGCACGTTGGAAATAACACCACCAGCTACACAATATAAATCCATTACTAGCCAATTGCGGTATCGAATCAGGATACAGGAAGAAAGTTTCCTATCCAGGGCTTACTATTGAAAAAATTAAAGTAAGCACTGGGGACGAGGTTCAATAAAAGGTGATTCATTGCCCCTTAAGAATGCTGACAGAAATTTACATGTACTGGACTGTCATTTTAAGCAACAATTAGGGCTGTTCAATTTCCGAAAAATTTAGTATTCGATTATTCGAAACTACGCTTGACTGAATATTCAAATATTCGAAACTTGCCGATCAAGTTCTACACGCGCCAACTGCATTTGCGTGCTGCGCCAGTCAAAATTTGCAGGCAAATTGCCAGTTAAAATTTGTGTGTTCCAAGATTTACAAGACAGTGTTTTTCAATTTTTAAGTCCACAAGTGTTAAGTGAAAAACGGAAAGTTCCACGCCTGCATACTCACCTTGCATTTGACAGGGTCGTGCCAGTTTTCACCACACACAAAACTGAAGGAAAAGTGAGACGAGAAATAACTCAAGCTTTGAAATATAATTGATTACAGAAATTATAAAGAACAGGTTAGGAGACCAGTTACAAGAAAGGCAAAATATTTCATCATCATGGCGACGTCTGTGCGCGTGCAGCGCACGTGCGTTGCTGGGTGACGACATCATGTGTTAATTTGTCGTGTGCCTGGCAGAAGGGCATATGTGCATACGCCCTTATGCGCGAACGTGCAATCACCAAAATGTTCCCAGCAAACGAGCATATGCAGAAAACTGCCACTATTTTAATGAAATTCAAACATTTTCGTCGGAAATTAATACGAGTTGTTCCCAAACTCATGATTCATACATGTGACAAATTTCAAATTCGTATGATTTATATTATGTGTGGGAGAACAATTCAATTCAATGCAATTTTCTTGAAACTGATTTTACATCGGAATGCTCATATGCCCTTCTGGCTTAGTGTAGCCGATTCAAACCAATATTAACCATCCTCAGGTCATCAGAAAGTCGCTGTTGGTTGGTTCGCATAAGTGCGCCACCTCTACGGTACGGTTCTGTAGGTTAGTTGTTTTTATCCAAGCGTAATGAGAGTGGAACGTCACGCTTGGGCCCAATTTCACGGCGCTGCTAAGCACGAAAATGTGCTTAGCACAAAAATAGTCTGGCTTATAAAAGCAGGTTACCAGCCAAAACTCCAAATGATGTATATTACTCATGATTAGTATCAAGCTGTTGTTTGCTTAGCATGAAAATCACATGGAGTTTTGGCTGGTAACCTGCTTTTATAAGGCAGACTTTTTTTGTGCTAAGCAAATTTTTGTGCTTAGCAGCACCGTGAATTTGGGCCCTGGGCCCAATTTCACGGCGCTGTTAAGCACACGATTTTCTGCTAACAGAGCCTTCGTCTATTTCATGGAGACCGCAAGCATAAGCACAGCAAAAGGCACGCTTACCTCCGAGGAAAACTTAGTGATGTAACAATAGAAATCTCCATTTCATCTCCATATGCACGCGCGACCGTTAGCATATACACGCCGTGAAATAGTGCTGAAGGTTAGCAAATTTTTCTGCTATGCTTAACACAACTTTTCTGCTAACTGTTAAGCAGCGCCGTGAAATTGGGCCCTGGTTGTGTGTCCAATCAGCTGTAGGTGTTGTTTGCAAAGCGTTGTTGATGCGTCAAGAAACTGCTGCTCGTAATTTATACTATCATACTATATAATTATAATGCAAGGGCGCCCTCTACCGGTAGTGCATAAGGGTCTTGTCTACTCACCAGCATATGTGACCACACTTGCAGGTGACCGGCCGGACCTCTAGATGGCTAGCCCTGAACGCGTTGGGACAGTCTGGTGCCGGACACCACCTCATCAGCCGATTGCACTCTACGAAGCTGTTTGTTATCAGGTGCTGGTATTTTAACTTGACTTTGGCATCCTTGACTAGTTTCCTGCACGAGTTACGGAGAAAACAGTTAATTATAAAGTAATTAATGGTAATGTACACAGATACAATGAATTGATGAAACTCTTCTCCGACATGTAAACACTGTATACTGAGTGTGTTACGTCCCGAGTGAAAGTTGGAAAAAATCACTCGGGTGGGACTCGAACCCACGACCTCCTGCTTTCTAGTGCAGATGTCTTACCACTCGACCACCGAGCTAACGGGATCGGTTGGCTGGTTCGAATCTGATGTACATCTGATGTTTATACGTCAGTGAAGGGCAAAACCTAATATTGATTTACGTCACCCAGACACAAATTCCATCTTATGAATGAATTGATGGTTATCAACAAAACTCATAATTATGTGAGGGGGTTTGCAGGTTTTAGCACGGAGAATAGAATTCTCCTTACATTCTACAATACTGTTTGTTGCACTTCAATCGGACATTCTGTTGACAAGTTATTGCGAAGGATGCAGCTACAAGGTGGTCGAGCCGAAGGCATTTAAAGAAGCCTCAGGCAGCTGCCATACGACCTATGTGTATGTCTGACCACGGAGCACAGCCAGAGATCAAAAGTGTTGATTTTTGCAGAGGGAGGAAAACCGGAGAGCCCGGAGAAAACTCCTCGTGGCACAGGAGAGAACCAATGAACAACTCTTCTCACATATGGCCCGAGACGGTAATCGAACCCAGGCCACAGCGGTGAGAGGCGAGTTCTTTACGCACTACACCACCCATGCCACAATCTCAACAATTTCCAAAGTTGAGCTTTTGCCTTTGACATTTTTTTTGTGCCTGTTATTACACTGGATTGGGACACTTACTGCAGTTTTTAAATCAGAAAATTCATCAATTTTTTTCATTAACACACACATACTGGAATTTGTATCCTTGTGGAGATAGTTCTTTGTTCTCGTGTAGTAAAGTTTTCGAGTTTAAAAGAGTAGTTTCAAAATGCTCTTATTTGTAACCTGTTCTGTCAAAATCAGACTCTTCTGGGCGTAAGGTCAAAAATGAGATTTTTGCATATTGTTAAAATATGTTCTTTTTCCTTTTAATAGGTGGTTTAATTTTTGAAACCAGTCATTCCTGGGCAGAGTTATGCTATTTTGAAGTTGATTGTGTTGAAAAGTAGAAATCTGAGAAAATGGCCACGAACGTCACAAAACAGTAATATCTTTAACTGATACACCTTAACAAATCATCAAAAATACTATATTTAGAGCTCAAATTAGGGTTTCAAATGTTTATACTATATTTTAGACATGTTCAGGATTACAAATATGCAAAAATTTGAAAATCGAAAAAAATCACCCCAACAGCGTTTTTTGGAAGTATCTTCATTTCAACCTCTGCCCAAAAGCGTCTGCTTTTGACAGAACAGGTCACATTTAACCAGAATTAATTTCCTTGGCTGAAATTTGGACTTAATACATGTAATATCCCTTTTCTAAAACTCTTCCATTTGCGACAAATCAACATACCTTGGAAATTCCTAGTTTTTGTGTAAAGTCCACATCTATTTCGTGATAACCTTGTGGAGACGTATTCATCTATAGAAATTGCCCTGTGGAGACGGATACAATCTTTTGTTCCCTATAGTACATGTATGCATGTCTCCAGAGGGCACGGTGTATCAGATCATCACTGTTTATTACATTGTGTTTAGTCACTGAAGCATCAATCAAACCTAGAGTGCTGGTGCGGTTTGGGGCGCTACAGTGACTATTGGTTAAAGTTACCAAGCTGAGTTACTCACATTACGGTGCAGTCGTCTACTAGGATGTCACAACTATGAGCTGCACAGGATATTGTCTGAAATTGAAAAGAAAATCGGGCATAAGTTTCAGTATTTTGCAACATCTGTCAATGTGTATGGATAAACAAGCAGGGGACATGTTCTCATTCAGCGGACTGCAGCTACCTAATGTCATGCGCTGAACTGACAAATAAAAGCAACCGAATTATACGAACCGCGCGCACACATGCATTTATTACGTAAGTATCGTCGCGTCAGTGCAACAAGGTCGTATCTCCTAAAATTGCATGAACGACGCAAAACGCGAGTTTTAGAATGTCAAAAGGTCGTATCTCGCTTAAAATAACCCGAATGTACACGCAAAGTCAATGGACGTCGAGATACGACCTTGTTGCACGGAGCGTATTCGCGCGAGATACGACTTTGTTGCAGAATGGAGTTATGAACGCAAAACGCGAGTTTTAGAATGTCAAAATGTCGTATCTCGCTTAAAATAACCCGGATGTACACGCAAAGTCAATGGACATCGAGATACGACCTTGTTGCACAGAGCGTATTTGCGCGAGATACGACTTTGTTGCAGAATGGAGTTATGAACGCAAAACGCGAGTTTTAGAATGTCAAAAGGTCGTATCCCGCTTAAAATAACCCGGATGTACACGCAAAGTCAGTGAACGTCGAGATACGACCTTGTTGCACGGAGCGTATTCGCGCGAGATACGACTTTGTTGCAGAATGGAGTTATGAACGCAAAACGCGAGTTTTAGAATGTCAAAAGGTCGTATCTCACTTAAAATAACCCGGATGTACACGCAAAAGTAATGGACGTCGAGATACGACCTTGTTGCACGGAGCGTATTCGCGCGAGATACGACTTTGTTGCAGAATGGAGTTATGAACGCAAAACGCACATTTTAGAATGTCAAAATGTCGTATCTCGCTTAAAATAACCCGGATGTGCACTCAAAGTCAATGGACGTCGAGATACGACCTTGTTGCAAGGAGCGTATACGCGCGAGATACGACTTTGTTGCAGAATGGAGTTACGACCTTGTTGCACTGACGCGACGATTTGTATTTGAATGCTTGTGTGTAATTGGTAATTCTCACTCAGCTCAATAGCTTCCAATGGCATTCAATGGACAGCTACAAAATGGGTTCTTTTAGTACAACGTGCATAACGTCTGATAGCATGGATCAATTCTAGTAATTCTTTTTTTTTTTAGATGAGTGGAGTAAAAACATGCTCTTCAAGATATACTTCATTGGTTTTCCAAATTTGATTGCTTTTTAAGAAAAAGAATCATTAATTCGGGTTACTTTCTTTTGGACTCGCCCTGTAATTGTGAATTATTCGGATGTGGTCTGTTTTATCATTTTGTTGTATTATTTCTCTTGTACCTGGCCCATTCCTTCTTCCATGATCTTGGTGGTCAGGTATTCCGTCCAGCAGTCCATGCAGAATCGGTGCCCACACTCCAAGCCTGTCATCATCTGCGTGTTGCAAAATAAATTACTAGTAAGACCAAGAGGCAAAGTTCACACAAGAGCTTTGGTAAGAAAGTAGATAAAACTCAAAAGTTGCTTTTATGTATTCCTATTTTGGGGACTGTACTTTGTATTGGAAGTGTTATGACATCGTCTAAACTTGTGGGGTCATTCAACCTTATAATACGACCCCAAAAAAGTGATTTTGCGCACGACTTTCGTTTTCAATTCATGAAAAATACTTTGTTATAAAGTACAACTGACTTGTCCAGTTGAGTTTGACTGAACAACTCTAGTTAAACTTTGAAAAAGGTAGAACTTCTAAAAAATTCATACAGGATTTGCATCTACATGTAGACGAAAAAAATTGCTGAAAATGTCAAGTTGGAAGAAGATTGTTAATGTACATATCTTTTTTTAATTGCAAATTTTTTACTCCTTTTTAAACTTTTTGACAAGTTTTAGAAAACCTACAATTTTGGGGGGATTTTTTCGTTAACCTAACTCCCTAGCGTCTTTTACTAGGAACTGGACCAAGTCCACTAAAATCCATCAATCACTGTGCTTCCAATACAAAACTGTAAAAGACATTATGGAATCCACCACTGGCGCACTGGTTAACATTCATGGACTTGCTCAACATGGCTTTTATCACAATAGCAGTACGGGAAGCTAGCAAAATCAATCGGATACCCTAGCACTGCTTCAGGCATTCAGGCCTAAGTCCATCACCATGGGCATCAATCGATGGGGGGCGGGGAGGACAAGTCCCCCCCCCCCACTTTTTAAAGGGGGGATATCATATCGTTTGCCCCCCCCCCCACTTTTTCGTCTCCGAATAACAATTGTAGCCTATTATAATGATTCTATAGCTCAGAATAGCTGATTCAATGACTCCAAACTCGAAAATGATGTTTAAAAGATGATCTTTTCGTTTACAAGATGATCTTAGAAGTCAGAAATTGCCTCTCAGATTGAACCACAGAGCATCTAGAATCCAAAAATTTTCGGGGCCCTTAACCCCATGCGCACGGGAAGCGGTCATGGCCGTGGCCGCTAATCCTCATTGGAATGCAGTTGCCAGCTGTGGTATGCCGTGGCACACGGCTAGTGGGTAGTTCCACAGCTGCTGCTTTTGTGCAGTCCCGTTACCACACAAAGGCTGCGCAGTCATGCGGGACACTTGCTCTATGTGTGGAGGAATGTCCCCATTACACCCCGTCCTTAAGGGGTTAAGCGGGCCCCAAACCCCACGCTGTTAGGGCATCGCAATCGCATTAGTACTCATCAAGGTATGTCCGCCCTACTTTTGAGAAGTGATTGACGCCCTTGTCCATCACACTCCATCAATATTTAGTCACACCAGCACCCGATTTCATCAAACTCTTCGTAACTTACGATGCATCGCAGCGATGCGACGCGTCGTAACTCTACGATGCGTCGCAGCTGCGACGCGTCCTGCGATCCATTTCACAAAACACGTCATAAGTGGGACACGTCGTAGGTGTATTCATAGCACAACTCAGTGACTTTTTTATGTATTCAGTCAGCGTACAGTAAATAGTCGTCTGATATTCAACGAAGAGTCGTCGGATCTCAGCTCGAAATTTGTTAAAACGTAAAACAAAATGGCAGTCGTGCGATGCAATTTTGACGAAAAACAAGCTCTCAGTGGACTGTATAGCTACTTTGAAATTTCAACTGCAATATTCCAGTCTAATTCATAATTATTCAACGAATTTTCTATTTACAACTTTACACACATTGCCTGGGTATTATAATCTCGTTAGTGTAATGTTTATGGCATAAAATTGGCTTAGAAATGACTCTTTTTATTTTGCAATGACCACTAGACACGTCGTAACTTGCGACGTGTTTTAAGCCGTTGTCAAGGAACTTACGACGCGTTCAACACATCGCAACTTTCTTGAAATGGAAGATCCGATGCGTCGCGAGTTGCGACGTGTTACACGTCGTAACTCGACTTGCGACGCATCGCAGCGCTTCGTGAAATCGGGTGCAGGCCTCCTGGACCGAGTCCCCCAAAATCCACCGAAATGGGGGGATGGATTTTGATGGAGTTGGGGTGGTTAGGGTTAATTAACACTCCAACGACCGTAGCTACATGTAGGCCATTTGCTGGTCAAGGGTCCCTTGCACTTACCGTGCTTATTATATTCCGACAGCAGATATCACAGGGTTCAAGGACCGGACCTGAAGATCGCGTAGCTACCTGGAAAGGAACATCAAATGACAATAGAGGATGAGTAAAAAAAACCCAAATGTCGGGACTATTGTTTTAGTGAAGCTCTGAATGTAGCACTTTGAAAATCTAGGATATGAAAGCCCAATTCATAAGCTTTCTTTTAGTACAAGTATCATTCAAATCACTCATGTATTTTTCAAGTTACGTAATTTTTAACACAACCACCGTTTTGTCCACGGATCACAAAAAGGTGTGCGTTCATTCAGCAAAACGAAAACAATTCACACACATCCCTATGTGATTTGTTTTCGCTTTGCTGAAAGAACACTTACCTTTTTGTGATCAGTGGACAGAACTTTAAAACGGTGGTTGTGTTCAAAATTCCGTAACTTGAAAAGTACATGAGTGATTTTAATAATTCTTGTACTAAAAGAAAGCTTAAGAATTGGGCTTTCTTTTCCTAAATTTTGAGCTATCCAATTGAACAAAGAAATGGACTGAAGCGGGTTTGAACCTGTGACCCCTGGATTGCCGTTCCAGTGCTCTTAGCAACTGAGCTGTCCAACTGAACAAAGAAATTGACTGAAGCGGGGTTTGAACCCGTGACCTCCGGATCTTAGCAACTGAGCTATCAAACTGAAAAAAAAAGAAATGGACTGAACCGGGGTTGAACCTGCGACCTCCGGATTGCCGTTCCGGTGCTCTACCAACTGAGCTATCCAATTGAACAAAGAAATGGACTGCATCGGGGTTTGAACCTACGACCTCAGCATTGCCGTTCCGGTGCTCTACCAACTAAGCTTTCCAGCCCTATGTTGGCGGTTCCCCGATTCTTGTTATTTTCCTGAGAGTGTACACTCACCCTAGACGAATGCCTGACCGGAGTTTTCTTGTAGGGACTGACAACGTGAGCCTCGCTGAAGAGTTTGTCTTGGTCCTCGCTGTAGAATCGCTCCATGAGTTTCTCCTTGTCCCATCGGAAGTGATTCAGGAGAATTCTTGTGATTGTGGCTGGAATCTGGGGTGGGGGAGACAAGATGACGAATATTTCAGAATAATGTATTCACAAAATTTCAGTTCAGGACAATATTCATCTTCATTCTTACAAAGGTCTGATAAGAGGTTTGGTTGGGGTACACGCTGCTACAGGGCAATTCCGTAAAATCCAAGGTCCGTCCGACCACATGATGTATATGTGATGCGATCAAGCTACATGAGTCGTTTGTCGACCCCGGTCAATTTATATTTTTTTACAGATTTGAAAAGAGCACAATCTCAGCATTACTGCTGTGAAAACCGCATGCTGATACCATCTTTAGTTTAAAAATTATGAAAGTCGGAACACCAAGAGATGTCATGAAGTGATGTGATAAAGTGATCTTATTTTGGCCTGTATCTCCAAATAAAAACAACAAATTTGAAAAAAAAGTGTACATTTGTTTAAAAGCTTAAATCCTTTCAAACAAACCCTTGCATAATGGGACAGGTTGGCTGGTTTAGGTGCCGAGGTTCACTGGCAAACGGACTTCGTCGTGGCCGGATCTGCATTTTGCCCGAAGTTTACCAATAATTTCACAACACATTTATGTGACTAGATTGTTTATTATGTAATATGAATCTTAATTAAGGCAATATACCAATCTGCATGTGATTTTAAGTGTTTAGGCCAATAGTGTATTTCGAGTAATTCTGGGGAATTTGGCAGATTTTTGATGTGCATTGAGCAGAATTTGGCTCTGACCTTACGGTCACCCTTCTCGTCATATTTTGTTGGCATGACTCTGAGCTGAATGGGGAACATCTGATGAAACATACATTGTAACTCTTATTCTCTTTGAAAGAAACTAGTGAAGTGCCCGTCTAAAATGTGCATGTTTGGGAAACGCAAATTGCTTTGCCGCTGGTATAGGTTGCATACTTGCAGTTTTTGAGAACTGCTCGTGCAAACAACACACACTTGCATCAAAGTTTGTGCCAAGTTTGAAGTTCGACCAACTACAATGGTCGCTTAGTCGACTGCAAAAATAACGTGCCCGTGTACAAACGAAAACATGGTATGCAGTGCTATTCACCCATACTGGACAATGGTATCGCCCTACAATGCACGTGCGCGTGCCAGTCTTTTTGCATTGTTTGCGTCATATTGAGCACGCGCGCTTTAGCTTAAACATGACATAAACAATTGAAAAGAACGGCAGTGCGTGGTGTTATGTTCTATGCTGCCACGTTTGCCTCCGAAAATACTGGGTTTTTTTGCAGCTTTTTCGAGAACTGCTCATCCAAACCACTTCAAACTTGGCACTGCACATTCTGTGGCCCCGAGCAATACACCCGCCGATTTTCAACTTCATACGGTGCCCAGTTCTGGAGATAATCGACGGACAGACAGACAGACAGAGATTCCTTGAATTATTAGGATAAATAACGAGATTTTGAAATCTAAAAATTAATGTGGCCTGACGTTGCGAACTATATATTTCAGGTCCATCCAGTCAGTAAGCAGTTTGCAGCAGTCTTACTTTTTTTCGAGACTGTGAAATCTCCGTTTTAGGATAAATAACCAGATTTTGAAATCTCCATTTTCTACCACCCCTAAATACATGTAGTACCATTAACTCCTTGTGCATCACAGACCTGCATAATTGTGTCTGAATGGGTTTCATGTCCACATACATGTACATGTACGTTGTAAAACACACACAATTTGTAACTGCTGTGTGTATGTACATGTACACACCGATACATTGTACTTGGTAGTGGTACCCATGTGTACCATATTAGGTCATGTACATGCATGTACTTGACAATGCATGTATGTAGCTGTGCAGTGTACGGTATGGCAATGCATGTACACATCAGATAGCAGGTGACTTGCCTGTGTTAAAAGTACAGCAGGGGAAGTGGATGGGAATTTTGACTGTCTGTGACTGTTTAAATACATGTAGCAGGAGGGTTGATGATCAAGGCCAAATTTTTACACATGTATGACAGCTGAACAAAATAATATGCATGCGTGTGATGCACACTGCCCCATTAGCTGCACTCATGACCCTTCATGTATAACTCAAGCATGTCAAGCAAGAAAAACAGTGAAAATGTATGTACATACATTTTGTACCTTATACCATGTCATACACAATGTATGTACAGTATACTTATACAAATGTACACACATGTACTTCAGAATACCCCGCCACTCACCTATCCCACCTCGTATCCGGATACGCGGATACTTTGGACTTAGACATTTTTCCCCTGCTCCCCATTCAACTCACGTTGCGGTCTCTGCCTTTGTTATTTCAAACATGGATATGAATGCTTCGTTCTAAAAATATCTAAATAAAGTCACCCCGTATCCCCTGTATCCGCGTATCCACTTCCTGGCACCTACTTTGGACTTGGACATTTCCCCCCTGCTCCCCATTCAATTCACGTTGTCCTGCTATGCTAGCCGCATTTCTTATTACAGGAAAATAGCGCCCTCATTAGACCCTCCAGCGTTCAACTCCACCCCGTATAAAATAATCCGCGTATCCACTTCCCGACATGTACTTTTCCGACTGCGCAGCCATTTAGTTTTAGGGGTAATTTTCGCGTGGCGGGGTATTCTGCAATTACTCTGTTAAACCTTTCGTTTTGCATATGGTCTACAATATGGAATTCTCCTTTCATAAATCATCATCCACATGACCCATTATGACCCCAGCAAAGTGCATGTGCATGCACTGGTACACACCTTCATTCATGAAAATAAGTGCAGTACACACATTGTACATGTGTCAAGCCTTTTTATAGCTCCATGATGTACATTGTAATTCATCATAGCTCTGTGTGTGATCATTGTGGGTTGTTTTCTGAGACGATCCCTGCCTGTGGCTTGTTTTTACTTTCCAAGACCATCCCTGGCTCCCTTTTTTTCTTGCCAGGTGCAAATAACTGAGATTCTTCTTGTATGGTTCATAATCTGACACTGAATGCATCACACACACACAAGCTGTTCATTAAAGGGAATGTACATCATTGGCTGTTGCTGTAATTTTCAGAAATGAACTATTTGAGGGGTTAGTATAATTGATCAAATATTGTTTCACTGACATTTTTTAAAGTTTTGTGTTCGAAAAGGTTGGAAAAACCAAGACAAACAAAAATGTTCATGTAGTCTGGTTCCCTGACTCAACAAAAGATAAAATGGATCAATTTATTGATGATGGAAAATTGTAAGGCAAGGGAACCAGTCTAGCAGACCTGCACCCGTTCATGAACATGTAACCAATAGCAAACACAATTTGGACTGAAAAAATGGTAAATTTGGAGCAGTAGTTGAAAAATAGTTAGGTTTTTCCAACGCTGGTCGGCCGATCACCGTTGGAAATGTAAACAAAAATACCATTTTCTTGAAAATGACTTCACACCAGGTGCCATAATTTTACAAGATGCTTGAGACTGTCATTTACCGGCATCCTAGTAAGGTATTTCGTAAAAACTTGGTAGTTTTATTTTTCGATGTTTGCAAATGTTGTATATTCCCTTTAAAGGGGCTCTACACAATAACATGCTATTAATATTACGTAGGACACTGCGATACAATGTTACTGAAATCAATTCAAAACATTTAGAGAAGATAATTTTCAAGAAATTTGTTCTATGGCACATGTGTACAGGTATGCGTGCACTGCATACTACTGTAATGCACACAAAATTACCATTTTGATTATTTTTCTCATTATCCCTTACCCTACTAGACCCTCCAACGCATGCCAATATGTGCCTCAAGAAAATCTCCTATGTTTTTTGCATGGCCCTCCAATATCTGCCATGTCATTTCAAGGGTAACTGGACAGGCACTCCAATACATGCCACAGAGAACAATGAGAGTCCTCTGATAACAAAGTGAGTGCCCCCAGCTGGTCAGTATCAGGCACCCTCCAGGGCCTCCAACTCCTGCCAATTGGAGCCTTCACAGTCAAGATAGTTTATCCTCCAATTAACTGCAGCTGGAGGGCATTGGCATAACCAACTGACATGCAGTAAACTACCCTCAGAGAGTAAGGGTTATATTTAACACTAATCCCTAAGTGATTTTTACCCCCCCCCCCAACTTTTTTTCGCGACCCAAGCTGTTCTGACTTTTTAGCCTCAAGCCTTGCGCATCTTTTGATACCAAAAACATACAATTCGAACCACGAGTTGCCGCGCAGCGAAAAACTGAATTTCCCCATATACGTAGTGTACACAGAGCGTATTACCATTCGCGCATATGAATAATTAACTAGCCAAAACTCCTTTGACCTATAGTCATGAAATTTCTTGGGTATTTGTTCTATGCATGTACCGAGTTTCATAATTTTTCATTACTCGATGGCCGAGATCTTAGGGGGAAAGGGGCAGAATCCAATCCAACGTAACATGATGTATTACATTGACACGGTGTCAATGTTACGTCCGAATTAATACATTTTTGCTCATATTTTTGTCAAAGTACCGGTACTTTCAAATGATTTCAAACTTTCTCAAGTATTGAAACACCCTAAGACACATATTATGTTGAGCAATTGTTTAGAATGCATTGATACTTTTAATAATATAACCAAATATATGGATGTAACATGCACTGCTTCCCAACCCGGTGGAATGACCCATGTACCTTTAATTCTCCAACAACCTCTGGATGGTAAAGTTTAATTTACATTGCTCATTCATGACCTAATCTTATATGACATTATCACAAGGACTTTGGACATATCTACCCATAGGAAAGGTCATGTGTGTGTGTGATTATGAAGACACTATAAGGCCAAAAAAAAAAAATATTCGGGCTCTGGTCAGACCAAAGCTCCAGAATTGACGCGGCCACGCGGCTTTTTTTTTTCTTCAAGCTTGGATTGTACAGACAAGGTGGGGTACTATTTTGCTTTTTTGGTGTCCTCATGTACATTGGTGTCCTCCATAATTTGCCTTGGTGCTTTCAATCATTTGCCTTGGTGCAATTTCCCATTCCTTGGTGCTCTTTGGTAAAAA